CCATAAGAGTACTATCAATTTAGTGATTGTATTTTCTTTCCTTCCATCAAGCTGCTTATTTAATTTATCTATTTCACTCTTATGTCTCATGTTAATTCTGTTTTTATCTTGACAATCTTTGCAGCACAAGATTTTATGACCTTCCAAGGATAGGGTCCTGGCACTACTTATGGCCACTACCCTACTTATGGCCATTTATTGCTCTGACATCAAAAAATAAGCATTTGTCAACAATGTGAACTAAGTGGTGGTTAGAGGGTGTAAATGAGCATGTGGCAATATGATTGGACAGGTTTGCAACTAATTATCTAAGGCCAATGTAAATCAGTAAAATACATAGTTAACATGTGCAATATATGCAAGCATTATTTGTTGTTTTGGCTAAGAATTTATGTAATTTCTAGAGGTAAGTAAATATTAATACCCAATGTATTTTGTTTTCAACATCATATATTTTTTTAAATTAGAAATAAATACCAAGGTGGCCATTAGTAAAGACTAAAAATTAAGAATTCGTGAGTTATGGCAGTTATTGTGTGGGTTGAGGGGTAGATAGTAATTGAGTTATTTTGTATTCTTTCTTTAACTGGATATTAATATGCTCTAACAAAAAGAAGAAGTCATAATTGGGAAGGTGCTGAAACAGCATCTGAATTGTTTAAAATTTTGCTATAAATTACATTCCTCATACCCAAAACTGAGCCCAAAACACTACTAATGAAGATAACAAATATGCAGGACGAGTCTGAGACAGAATTACATCATGATTGGGAAATTATTCCTACACCATCTTGAATTTAATTTCTTCTTGAGGATCGCTGTACAGCTAAAGATGCACAATCACCCTAACCTGGCTCATCTACCCTTACCTGGCTCATCTACATCAACCCTTATGATAACAGCAAATAGCAAACCAATATTTAAATATGCAACTTAAAAATTAGTGGCCATAAGTAAAGAACTAGTGGCGGACTGATGGCCAAAAGTAAAGAATTTCTTCCAACTTATAAAAAAAAAATCTGATGTGTCCAACACATGACTTTCCTATCTGGTTATTATAGGCTTTTTCCGGTTATTTTGTAAAACCTATTGCAGCATCTCTATAAATGTTTAGAGGATAAACTAAATATATATATTGTCCACATACATCTACCTCAAAACATTTTTCTATAGATATTCATGGAAAACAAAAATACTGAAAAATGTAAATTTCCTACAATTTTTTCATTACGGTCCTTTTTAGAAAAATCATGTATAAACAAAAATTATAGAGATCGATATTGCAAACAACTTTTATTTCAATAACTTTCATAAAAATCAGAATTTTGCACATTTTGTCAAATTTCTCGAATACGGACCATTTCAGGAAATTTTTACATAAAACAAAAATTATAGATAATAATATTAGAAGTAACTTTTATTTAAACAATTTTTTTCTCCAAACATTAATAACAGATATATTCCATAAAATATAAAAGTGGCCTCCCATAAAGTACCCCCCCCAGATGTTCCGACTATGTCCAAAATCTAATCATTTCACGTCAGGCCGAAATAAAACTTAAGTTTAAAATTTAATATTTTTCTCTTCATCCGTTTTTGAGTTTTCTTCAAAATTCGAAATTTACACATTTTCTCAAATATCTCGAATACGGTCCATTTTAGAGAAATTATGTATAGAATAAAAATTATAGATAATTATATTACAAACAACTTTTATTTGAACTATTTTTATAAAAAAATATTTTTTTTACATTTTGTCAAATTTCTCGAATACGGACCATTTTAGGAAAATTTTGTATAGAACAAAAATTATAGATAATTATATTAGAAGTAACTTTTATTTGAAGAATTTTTTTCTCCAAACGTAAATAACAGATATATTCCATAAAATATAAAAATGACCACCTATAAAGTACCCCCCCAGATGTTCCGACTCTGCCCAAAATCTAATCAGTTCATTAGACGCTGGAATAAAGCTTAAGTTTAAAATTTGGTGTTTTTCTGTGTATCGGTTCATGAGTTATGCGACATACAGACACACACAGACACACAGACATCATCGCGAAAATAGTCAAAACGGATTCAGGGGACCTCAAAACGTAAAAATCCGTCGAAAACTCGAGGTCGAAAAAAATCATGATTCCTATACTTTCCTTATATCTGTATACAGATAGGAAAGTAAAAATGCAATAAAAAATTACATGCTATTAACACAATAGATGTATATATACTTCAACCTATCAAATGCTATTTTTATTTATTTTTTTATTTTAAAATAAGATTCATAAACAAGCCCCACAAAAGCATTTTTGTCTTAAGGTGGCCATAAGTAGTGCCACAACCCTACTCCTTTTTACTTTCCTATCTGTATACAGATATAAGGAAAGTATAGGAATCATGATTTTTTTCGACCTCAAGTTTTCGACGGATTTTTACGTTTTGAGGTCCCCTGAATCCGTTTTGACTATTTTCGCGATGATGTCTGTCTGTGTGTGTGTGTGTGTGTGTGCGTGTGCGCGTGTGCGTGTGTGTGTGTGTGTGTGTGTGTGTCTGTATCTGTATAACGCATAACTCATGAACAGATACACGGAAAAACACCAAATTTCAAACTTAAGCTTTATTCCAGCGTCTAATGAGCTGATTAGATTTTGGGCAGAGTCGGAACATCTGGGGGGGGTACTTTATAGGTGGTCATTTTTATATTTTATGGAATATATCTGTTATTTACGTTTGGAGAAGAAAATTCTTCAAATAAAAGTTACTTATAATATAATTATCTATAATTTTTGTTCTATACAAAATTTTCCTAAAATGGTCCGTATTCGAGAAATTTGACAAAATGTAAAAAAAATATTTTTTTATAAAAATTGTTCAAACAAAAGTTGTTTGCAATATAATTCTCTATAATTTTTATTCTATACATAGTTTCTCTAAAATCGACCGTATTCGAGATATTTGAAAAAATGTGTAAATTTCGAATTTTGAAGAAAACTCAAAAACGGATAAATAAAAAAACATTAAATTTTAAACTTAAGGTTTATTTCGGCCTGACGTGAAATGATTAGATTTTGGACAAAGTCGGAACATCTAGGGGGGTACTTTATGGGAGGCTGTTTTTATATTTTATTGAATATATCTGTTATTTATGTTTGGAGGAGAAAATTGTTTAAATAAAAGTTACTTCTAATATTATTATCTATAATTTTTGTTTTATGTCAAAATTTCCTGAAATGGTCCGTATTCGAGAAATTTGACAAAATGTACAAAATTCTGATTTTTATGAAAATTGTTGAACTATAAGTTGTTTGCGATATCGATCTCTATAATTTTTGTTTATACATGATTTTTCTAAAATGGACCGTAATGGAAAAGTGCTAAATTAAAATTTTTCAGTATTTTCGTTTTCAATGAATATCTATATAAAAATGTTTCGATGTAGATGTATGTGGACAATGTATATATTTAGTTTATCATCTAAACATTTATATAGATGCTGCAATAGGTTGTATAAAATAACCGGAAAAAGCCTATAAAAACTAGATAGGAAAGTCATGTGTTGGACACATCAGATTTTTTTTCTTGATAAGCAGCACTCTATGCAACAATATCTCCTAGGTTCTTTCTTTTTGCAGCCCTTAAATGATTTTTCCATAATAATAACAGTAAATAAAACACCACCACTGGTAAAATATTTGTAAAAGCTTTAAAGTAGTTATCATAATGATAAGTTTTTGTACCAACAAGTTTTATTTATTTAAATTTAATTGTCCATTAATACAAGTAAATACAACAGATTAATAAATTTCCACTCAACACATTTGAAGTTGAGAAAAGGATAAATAGTCCACTTAATAGCCTGTAAAAACAGCTTCAATTGTATATAAGTTTAACTAAAAATTTTGAACTATTTCTTCCTTATTTTCTAAATAAACGCGAGTACCGATAGGCATTTATCACAGTTGTTTTTTTTAAGGAATCCATTGGTGTAACTTCTTAATTAATGAATAAATTATTTAATCTGAAATTGTTTGTTTTATTGACCTCACTAAGTAGAATGTCAACTACCAGAGCAAATCATGTCAACTACTAGAACTAGCTAATTGCACTTGTCAACCTTTGGAGCAAATGCATGAAATAAAAAAAAAAAAATTACCAAAAAGAAAATTAAAACAATCTATCATTTTAATATGAATGTTTACCTAGATCACACTTAAAGTGTTCTATCTGAAGTTGATAACAAAATATAGAGGCAAATTTATGAAATTAAATGTAAATTTACCATTATATTTTTAAGGTGTCGACTACTGGTATCTTTATCTTAACATTATGTTAAACTGTTATTTGAAATAAAATATTTTTTAAAATGTAGTTAGGTACAGCAAAATTTTGAATTTAAGTAATTTTTGTTTTTAGAAATGTATTAAGTATTTACAATGGGTACTTTTCTAAATTTTGACATACATAAAGATTACCAAACCCAACAAAAATATGAAACAAGATAGATAGATAGATATTTTATTGAAGTAGGATAAACCTAATATACAAAAAAAATATTATTAACATTAACATATTCTGAGTTAAGAAAAATAAATTTGTTACACATTACAAAGATACTTTTAATCTTGAGTTTAGACAGCCTTAATTAACAATAAAACAAATAACAGTTGAAAACATGAACCCAAATATTAAAAAAGAATAAAAAAGTAAAAATAAAATATATAAAAGTTAATATTAAATTTTATCAATTTTAATTAAAGTTGTCAATTTTTTTTAAACTTGCTAATGAATTACAATCCTTCAAGCCCCATTATATTCTTGGAAACCTTTATACAATAATAATGCCTATGATTTAGAATAATTAACTTTTTTAATGTATATATCCCCAGTTGATCGTGTTGCTGTAATCATGAATATCCCCATGACAACAAATAAATTGATGAAAGAATGAATTGTTTTATAAACATAATTGTCAAGTAGTACAATAAATAATATTTACATACCTTTACTCCAAGTTTGAGAAGATTTTCCACAGCCTCTAAAGCCAAAGGACACTCTCTCAACACTTCCTTAAAACAAGTAATAGCTGATCTCTCCATTCCTATATCCTTATAAATATTCCCCAAAGCCATATTAACCTTAGGAGTCCTATGCCTCGCCGAAATCATCTGTAAAATCTCACCGGCGGCGTTTTTTTGTTTCAAAGCCATGCAGCATAAATGTATCTGATATTTGATATCCACGTCGCTCATTATGTTGCTTTGATTGTCAATTTTATTGCTGGCATTTTTCGATTTCATTATGTAGTTTTTTCTCATTTGTAAACCTTGTCTGTACAAGTTTTCAGCTTGTAAATATTGGTAGGTGTGGAATAGGGCATCGCCGTAATATAATGTTATTTGTAGTTTGATTGGTAAGTTGAATACGTCCGGTTTTTGTTCGGCTAAGGTTAAAGCCAAATCGCACTAAAATAAACAAATAGTTCGCTTGAAGAAATCACAAAATAGCCCGATAAATAAAATGTAATGATCTGAATACTTCTAATGCTATTTACTGACTAAAAAACTATTTTTAAAATCAACAGGGAGATTAATATAAACTTAAATGATAAGAGTTGTATCGTGTCAGCATTTTCTATTGAATTCTTTGATTAGACGTTTTTATTAATAATTCCTATTTTGTGGACTTTTTTTAACACTAATCACTGTTCAATTAAATGTTGACTTGAATATTCTAAGTACGTTATGAATTTCCTTACCACTTTACAAATATTGGAATAAAGTTCTTCTTCCTTGAGAGTCTGTAATTGTTTTAAAATTGTATTCATCATTTTATCAGTAAATCGAAATGTTTTGAAAATTTATACCATTTATTTGACATCTAAAATTGAGGTTATTTTCTTCTTCTTTTTTAATTCTAACTTTGGTCTGAACTGTTATGGGCATACAGTCGTCTTCTTATGATCCTTTTTATATAATTTTTGTATTTTATGCAGGCCCGACGAGAGTGTGGTCAGGGGGGCAAAATCCCAGGCACAAAGGGGCCCTGGCAGTTTTAGCATTCAAATGGTTGACCTTAGGAAATAACATGCCACTAACATGCGCATGACATGGCAACACTGTATGCCAGGTGATTTGACGGTGTCAATGATATAGATAGTTATATAGATTGATCATCTGTTTTTAAAATGAATAAGCTCATGTCTTGAAGTAAAAATGTAGGTAATTATTTTTTTTTAAATATATTCAAAGGCTGGGAATTGGTTTTAAAACACGTTGTTGCTAAACCGATAAAAATTAATGAACAATTGCCACGTAATATGGCCGCTTGCAAACGACCCGCTTTGAGCAATCTATATAATTACGTATCAACAGGCGCACAGGATTGCCGTATCTAAACGAAATTTAAAGAAAACTCAAAAACGGATAAAGAAAAAACATTAAATTTTATGGGTTGATTCTGACAATCTATAAGCCAAAATCTGTAAAAAAACTACATTACTATATCTTATAGATTCTATACAATATGATATTTTTCAGAATTTTACCCTTAAACTTAAATTTTAATCTGGCATGAGGCGAACTGATTAGATTTTGGGCAGAATGAGGACATCTGGAGGGGCATTTTATGGTATATATCTGTTATGTATGTTTGGAGAAGAAAATTGTTCAAATAATGGTTACTTCTTATATTATTTTCTATAATTTTTGTCCGTTACAAAATTTTCCTAAAAAGTGTCCGTATTCAAGAAATTTTACAGATTTTGAAGAAAATTGTTATATTATTTTCTATAATTATTATTCCAGGCATAATTTTTGTAAAATGGACGTATTCGAGATATTTGGGAAAATATGTAAATTTCGAATTTTGGAGAAAACTTAAAAACGGTTAGAGTGAAAAACACATAATTTTAAACTTAACCTTTATTCTGGCCTGCGGTGAATTGATTAGATTTTTGGCAGAGTGGGAACTTTATAAGGGGTCGTTTTTATGTTATGGAATACAGGGTGTACCAATAAAAATTCCTAGGTTAGATATTTTGGTAAGAAATAGAAATATTTTAATTCTGTAAAAGCCAATTCACAGAGCACTAAGAAAGCTTCAATTTCAGATACAAATTGATTTTAAATAGATCAATATGTAGATGGCACTGCGCTCAATAATTTTTTTTTCGATGAGAGGATCTTTCTTTGTAGCGCATCTTGTAAAAATACATTTTTAAGCAGATTTTGTTCTATGCACTAATTCGATAAATGTAGCCATTTTTGATATACAGAGTGGGTCACTTAAAACAGTTTCATCCTGTTGTTTGGCATTAATAATTGCAATTTGAAGAAAATGCTAAATCAGGTCGATTTATATTCCAAATTGAACATCTATGTGCCAACCCCTTTGCATTTCTCCAGCATCTTACTTTTAAATAGGTAATGTACCATGTACGCAGGGCTAACAAGAGGGGGGGCATCAGGGACTAATTCCCGGGATCCGGGCTCAAACGGGGGCCCGGCAGCGGTATAAGGGGGCCCGGCAACTGTGGCGAGGATTTTTTTTACTTTCAGAAGTTCGGCACAAGAGTTTTTGTTTGAAGACCTTTTTTTTATTTTAGAGATTCAGTGAGGCGAATTTTTTTTATTTTAGAGAGATTCAGTAATGAGTTTTTGTTTGAAGATTTTTTGTTTAGAGAAATTCAAGTAGATGAGAAGTTTTTGCTTAAAGACTTTTTCTTTAGATAAATTTAAGTAAAAAAATCTTTTCTTTTTGAATTTTTTTTTATAAAATTTAAATGTACCGCCCTCTATCTGGATAAAAAAAGTGTATGTATTATAAAGTGTGATCTTTTATTTTAAAGCAAATTTAATTACTAATTCAGCTAATTTGTGAAACTGCCAAAGTCACTGTTTTTATTATTATTATTCATATGAACATCAGCCACCACTACAATCTTATTGGGATCATTATTTTCCTTAGCGGTTAATTCTTCTTCGAAATTTGTAGAATAAGAAGGCTTTTTAGACTAGCTATTTCAGGTTTTTTTTATATTTATTTCTGAAGGAGTAACAAATAACTTGACTACCCAGATAGCACAGGACGTCCCATGGACGTCCTGATTTGGTCCCGGACCTAAATAGGACGTCCACTGGACTTCCGATTACAGTTAACACTAGGACGTCCTTAGACGTCTTATTTTGGTCCCGTTTCGACAAAGCGTTTAGTTTTCGGTCCGAGTCCGGGACGTCTTTGGGACTTTCTATGCACTAGCATCGTTGGTCTTTGAATCGATAACTTGAAATTCAACGTTTTGATTTTGCAAGAGTATGAGGACAGAAAACCTAACCTATCATTTATTTTCAAATGAACAACAATAGCTACAATTTTCGGCATTCAATAATTAACTTAAATAAGTGAGCTAGATTAATGAAGAAAAAAGGTTATATAGTGTTATGTTATTTTTTTGATGTTGGTGGTAAAGTATGGTTATAAAGTAGGCGAGTTCGGTCAGTCAGGGGCTGGAGCGGGACAAATTTTAGGGTGCTTTTAAATGACATTTAAGCGTGTTAAACTGTCACTAATCGGACTAAACCGAACGCTAAAAGAGTCGTTTGGAGTTAAAAGTGTTAAAGGAACGTGGCAAACCGAACGCAATGAGTGAAGTGAGTGTTTTGTGTTGATGTTAGAATAAGTGATGTGTATTGTCGGTAGCCGCTGGCGGAAAGAAAATACCTTAATGGCGGAAAGTTGGAACAAAACTAATTTGGACAAAATTATAATACTCAGTTTTGTCGACACAAGCTATAAGTAGGACCCAAGGTTTCATCTTGCCAGCGCTGTGTGTTAAATTTAATTAATTCCTGTTTTTTTTTTTATAAACTGAAAACGTTTAACTCTAGCTAGGTTTTTTAGGATAAAAGTTGTTAAATAAAGCTCTTTTATTAACATTTTTGTTATTATTACCCTTTATGGATTATGGTCAAATATCGTCCCTCGGACGTCTGATTTACGTCCCTAGGACGTCCCGCAAAGGTCCCTATGACGTCCTTTTGGGATGTCCCTAAGATGGACAGAAACGGGACATTAGGACGTCCATGTACCAAAATAGGACGTCCCTCAGACGTCCTTTATGTCCCTAAAGGACGTCTTTTAGACGTCCGTGTGCTATGTGGGTAAGATATTTATCTTGTTTGAGGATGATTGATGTACATCAAACATGTCAAATTGAAAAAGTAACTTGAGCTGAATAAATAAAATGTATGTTTATGTGGGCCGCAACCAGGCAAATGCGCTGTAGGCAATACGATGCAGTTGGTACCATTTTGAAGCCACGCCCAAATTTAGTCAAAAAAATCACAAAAATGTAATTAAAACTATTTTATTCTAAAAAACTAAAAACGTTTTTTAAAAATTATCTTCAAAAGCCTTTACGTTTCCGTACACATAATTTGTGCAGACATTCCTTGATAAAATCACCTTCTGTGAAAGATTTCGAGTGTTTAGCTATTAACTACGACAATACTTGCTTGCACCGCCGATTCACTTTCTTGTGGTATTTTACTAAACATGAACTGTTGTTTTTTCAGTCCCAACTTAAGCTCTTTCAACTTTATCTTCGTAATTATCAAAATTTAATTTATGTTGGCGTTCAATGTTATATAATTTTGGTACGCTAAGAATATTACTGCATATCTAGCAAATTATTGTATCTTTCACTTCACAGCAAAAATACTCTATTTCCTGCTTTTCTTGAAAATTTCGATGTTTGTCAGTAATTTTTCGTTTTATTTGACTTCGATTCGGTTTAGATAAAGACATACTGAATAGAAAAGTTTGAAATAAATTAGTAATAGTAAATTCACAATTATGCATCGTTTTAATTAACATTAACTTACCAAATCTAAAATAACTGCACATTTAACCACTACTACGTCAAAAGAATTAATTTTATCATTTTATGTTTCTCAAAGCAAATAATATTGTCACTAAAGAAGTTCTTACACGAGTTATTCTTACCCACTTTTGTTAAGTAAATAAATAAATAATTACCAACATCATGCAACTGATCTTGGTCTTTCTTGTCAGACGTCCAAGCGCCGGGACGCAAAAAATTTGGCACCGGGCCGAAAGCGGCCCGTGAGTTTGACGTGCTTAATGTACATCTTCTGCTACATGTAAATTGCTTTTGTTGTCGCCAAATATTAAAGAGTTTCAGGAAGTTTTCATTGTTGCCATTATCGGATAATACATCATTAGCTTTTAAAAACCTTTCTATTTGCTTTTCGCCAACGATCTTAACGAAGGTCGGATAATCCAGTAAGTTTTGTGGTAATTTGATCGTTTTATTATGATCTTCAGTTGTTTCACCCAAACATTTTAAAAAATCTATTGCATTTGGGTTTTAGTTTCACTGGCCCTTTGATAATTAATCATGAGCTATTGATATATCAGTATCCTCAGGCAGATTTTATTAAACTTAACTTTTATTTGGAACAAACTGATTGGTCTTTTTTATAATAATAATAATAATCGTCTTTATTTCCATTAATTTAAAGTAAATACAATAAAATAATACATATATACACGGGCGAAGTTTATTTTTGGTTGTGCACTAGACACAACAAAAAATATTCTTCCACTTAACCCGCGAGTAAACCTGCATATAACCATAGAGCAATAGAGCAGAAATAAACAATCAAAGACAAAATATGTATATACCATAATAACTATATCAAATAAATAAACAACTGTAATTTTAACATTTAACAAACAAATGAAAATACACTTGTCTCAGGAAGGTTGAATCCAATGAAAAAAAAAACAACATAACTAAGTAGGGCAAAAAAAATATCAAAAACAACGACCAATGAAAGAGGGAAGTACAAATACGTAGCGATACAATAAACAACAATATGTATGCAGTGAGGAAAATTGTTACTTAAATTTGATTTTCAAAAATGTGTATTTTAAGGGCTGTCTTAAATTTAAAAATACTATAATTCTTGAATTCTGGTAATATTTTATTATAAAAGTAAGAGATGAGGTAACTAAATGACCGTCTGAAAAGTTCCGTCGTAAAAAGGGGAACAGTCAGTAATCCTCTGTTCCTTATACTCACTACGTATTGTACTCCTAACAAAAATGCACAACCCTTTACCATTACAGTTTCTGTCTGCCCTAAATAGGCGATAATTGTTAATATTTAAAACTGAATTATTAATGGATTGCTTATTCAGCCACGACTCACATATTAAAAATATGTCAAATTCATTTTGTAATATAATTTGCTTCAAATCATGTATAGAGGGCAATAATGATCTAGCATTGGCACAACCAACTTTTAACAAATGCATTTTCAAATCTTTACATTAATGATAAAGATACTTTATTTCCCAGTTATAAAGTAATAAAACTAAAGTAATTTAAAATTTTACAAAAATTAAACGTATTTTTATTTGATTTATCTATATAATAAAAACGGTACACCAAGGAGTGTATCAATTGCACGCAAGTTGCTGGTGCTGCAAAATTATATTATTTTTAGTTAACATGCCAAATTTATACTAGTAAATATTTGTATATTTAAAATTAAGAGAAAAAAAATTAACAAAAGCTATATTTAATATTTAAATTAATTACTTCACTCTCAGTAATAAACAAAGAAAAAATTAATAATTACATTATTTCTTTAAGATCGTCCATCGCAACAACTTTCTTAACTTGATCGGCATTAAAATATTTCAGGAACACGTTACCATGATTTGTCCATACTTTTCCAGTTTTACCGACTTTTTCCAAAGCTGCTTTTAACATTGTAAGTTTGGCTGATGTTAGGTCCTCTCGAGCAACAATTTTAGTGTTTTTAAATAATTTCTTGTTATCATAAATAAGATTCTTATAATAAATTGTTGAAAATCTTACTAATATTGGCCTATTCTTATTGCTAAGTTTTTTTCCTACTCTAAAAGATGATTCAATATAATTTTCATCTACCTTTAACTTCATTGTGTCACTGAATATGTTCATCATCAAGAGTCTGCAATTTTCTCCAATATTCTCATTTAATCCATGAAATAAAATATTAGCTTCATCTTGTTTTTTTAACAGACTTTTTATTATTTCATCCTGTTCTTCCACTTTTTTATTAATTTGCACGTTCTCGTGTTTTAACTTCTCAATATCTTCTTTAAATTTTTTAGTTATATTATCTGTTATTGTTTTCGCTATTTTACCAATAAAATCTTCCGATGTACATAATGTTGTAACTAAAGATTTAACTAATGCGTGCAGTTCTTCTTCGTCCCCCTTAGTCGAATTCTTTCTACCTCTAGTATCCATTATGAAAAAACCAAACTGCAATAATACAAAGTTCTAGTGTACTTACAGATTTTGTATTTTCTGCAATCGACCAGACTTCACTAATACTTTTAATGGTATAAAAACAATATTTAAATTCGCACGTTTTCCAACAATTTTACTTATTTAAATCGCAGCACCGTAGCAATACGTCTACTCTGCTCGAGCCATATACAGTACTGTCGATCTCGATGTAATGGTGGATATGTTTTATAAACACCTTTTTAAGGCCATTGACTTATATGTTCCTAAAAGAAAAATAAAAAACCAAAAATATCCAAAATGGTATGATGGCCCTCTGAGAAAACTAATATCTGGAAAAAACAGAGCATATAATAAATTTAAAAGGACTGGATATGCTTCAGACTACAAAACATATTCCGACATTCGACGTGAGGTAAAATATCGCATTGATCTATGCTACCTTACGCAATATTGAACATGTAATTCCTGAAAATGTAAAATATTTTTGGACTTTTATTAATAGCCTAAAACGTACAGAACATATGTCGTCTATCATGAAATACAACAATGATACTTTAAAAACACCTTTATCTATCGCTGATACTTTTGCACTACATTTTGAGTCTAGCTACAGTAACCACATCACTCTTGACTTAAATCACTTGGAATCAGTCAAATTTGGTTCCCATCTCTCATTTCACATCTTTAAAGAAGATGAAATAAAGAAGAAAATGCTGGATCTCGATCCTTCCAAAGGTTCTGGTCCAGATGGAATACCACCTATCCTTCTCAAGAAGTGCCCTGCTTTATCTGCACCACTGTGCACAATTTTCCAGAGATCATTCGACAGAGGATATGTCCCGTCCAGATGGAAATATTCTAACTTGGTTCCAATTTTTAAGTCCGGGGATAAATCAGACATAAAAAATTATCGAGGCATTTCTATGCTATCAGCAATTCCTAAGCTGTTGGAATCAATCTTAACAGATGAATTATTTTACATGTTTAAGAATTACATAATAGATGAGCAGCATGGCTTCTACAGAGGCCGTTCAACAACTACTAATCTGGCTATTTATCAGGAGTTTATTACCTCTTCGGTTGATGCTGGTTACCAAGATGATACAATTAACACCGACCTCTCTAAGGCGTTCGATAGTGTATATCAGCAGTTACTTTTAAAGAAACTATCTGAAATTGGGATAACAGGCAATTACCTTAATTGGATTAAATCCTATCTTATTAACCGTCGGCAGCGTGTTACAGTGAATGGTTCTGTGTCGCGGGAAGTGACAGTGTCTTCGGGTGTACCCCAGGGTTCACGTATTGGCCCTATTTTATTTTTGTTATTTATAAATGATGTAGTGTCCTGTTTTAAAAATTCTCATTGTCTCTTATATGCTGCCGATTTAATTTTTTTAATATTGTGGAACCTAATTATAACGCCCTACAGTCTGATTTAGATCAATTTGTCTCTTGGTGCAGTTCTAACTATTTAGAACTAAACATATCAAAATGTAAAGTTATATAATTTTACAGGCGTTCTAACCCCGTCGAAAACTCATACATTATTAATAATACTACGCTGGAGAGCGTCTCCACATTTAATGATTTAGGGGTAATATTCGACAGGGAATTATCCTTTTCTTTACATGTTGATACTATCATTCTGAGGGCGTTCAATGAGGATTCATAAAAAGAAGCACAAAGCAATAACATGTTTGTACAGTGGTTTGATCCGAAGTATTTTAGAGTATTGCAGTACTATTTGGTCTCCGTCACAAGCTATTTATGTCAACCGAATTGAACGAGTTCAAAACAAATTTTGTAAATATTTGCTATTTAAGTTTCACTTTCCATATCGGGATTTATCGTATGAAACGAGACTGCTACTCTGTGGTATACAAACTCTTGAACGGAGACGCAGGGATGCAACGTTACTTTTGCTCTACAAAATAATTAATGGAGACATTATTTGTGAAAAATTGTTATGCCAAGTACATTTCGTTGTTCTGTTAAGGCATACTCGACAGTCACAACTATTCTTTGAGAAAACCCATCCTACAAACTATGGACAAAGAGCTTTCATGAATAGGCTTTTGTGCAACTATAATAAGCACTATTCTCACTGCGATATTTTTAATTGTACGTTATTATCTGTTAAGAGGATGCTCGAATTTTAAAATTTTAGGTTGTTTATTGTCTTGTATGGTGTTAGACTTTGTTTTTAGACGTTAAATGTATTTAAAAATTTCTGAAGAGTTTTGATATTTATATATTCGGTTTTTTTTATATGTATATACTTATACTTTAATTGTTGTTTTAGCTTTAAAACTGTGCCATTTGGAATTCATATTTTTGTAGTGCACTTAAGACAATAAATAAATAAAAAGAATAAAAGCCCGCATGTTCAGAAGCTCTGGTCTTAAGACAGATGTAATAACTTTTTGTAGAAGTGGTGCAAATGTAACTTTATTTAGAATGTTCTCAGGATTGTCCTCTCCCACTCACGAACAGCCTGGCGCCAAGCCACTATGATATGCCGAAAAACTGATAAGTCAGCAGGCTGTAGAATCCTAGTAGCATTAGGATATAATGCGATTATTTCAGTTTGAAGTTTATTACAAAGGATGTTGAGTTCATGAGATAAATGTGGTTTGTGTTACAGATTAATTTTATTTTTTCTATGTTTAATTTGAATACTGATGTTGTTTTTGGCTGACTGGATTGAAAAAATATATGAAAGTCAGTGTCATAAATAAAAAAATTCATATTTGACATCACTATTATTTTTGATTCTTCGACCCGGGATTTTTACATTTTATTCTAGGTAAAAACACAAGAACACGATCTATTTTTGTCACTATTGCTCCTTAACGAACTCTTAACGTATGACAACTGTCCATGCTTTTCATTTCACTAACGCAGGCAAACTAAGCGCGCGATCTGGTGCTGTTGCATATTGATATCTTTACCTTAATGTATAAAGGCGCCATCTAGCAAAGAAAGAACGTACCATGATAAACAGAACCCTTATTTTACAGAAGAATTCACAACGTGTTCAATTACTATGAGAGGTCCAATTACTGTATGGTTTACCCTAGATTAAAAATATCAGGGATATCAAAATGTAAATAAAACCAAATACCTATATACTTAATTATATTTAATACCATTAAAAATAAATTGAAAACCTAAGAGATTGGGTAAAAAAAAAATTCCACTATTTTATTTGTCTTCTTTTTCTGTAGCTCGATAATCTGAAACAGAGCGAGATTTAAAATGGCCGTCAAACTTTATTTGTTGTAGAAACTATTAAAACACTGTCAAAACTAAAATTATGATAAAATAATCAATAAAAAGGATCAATTTTAAAAATTACCGACAATAAAAAATCGCTGTTGTAAGTTCTATTGTAAAAATTATCGATTGTAAAAAGTCGATTATAAAAATAGAACATAAAATCGATTATGAAAATCGGATATAAAAAATATGACAAATCGAATTTATTGAAAAATTCGATTGTAAAAAAATCGAAAGTAAAAATGATGATTATAAAAAAATAATCAATAAAAAGTACCAAAATTAAAAAATATCAAATTTAAAAATTATCTGATGTAAAAAATCGCTATAAAAGTATCGATTGTACGATTATGAAAATATTAGAATGTACAACATCGGGTCGATTGCAAGGTTCTATTATAAAAATCGAATGTAAAAAATCAAGTCTATTGAAGGATTCGTTTGTAAAAAATCGAAAGCAAAAATTATGATTATAAAAAAATAATCGATAAAAAATAAAAACAATAAAATGGATCGATTTTAAAAATTATCGATTATAGAAAGTATCGATTGCAAAAAAAATCGATTGCAGTAACTATCGATAAAAAAATTGATTATGGAAATAATAGAATGTCCAGAAAATCGGGTCGATTATAAGGTAAAATATCGCTGTTGTAAAGTTCTATTGTAAAAAGTATCGATTGTAGAAAGTATCGATTGCAAAAACTATCGATTGTAAAAAAATCGATTATGGAAATAATAGAATGTCCAGAAAATCGGGACGATTATAAGGTAAAATATCGCTGTTGTAAGGTTCTATTGTAAAAAGTATCGATTGTAGAAATTATCGATTGCTAAAAGTATCGATTGTAGAAACTATTGATTGTGAAAAAATTGGTTATAAAAATAATAGAATGTTCAGAAAATCGGGTCGATTATATGGTAAAATATCGCTGTTGTAAGGTTTTATTGTAAAAAGTATTTATTGTAGAAAATATCGATTGCAAAAAGTATCGATTGTAAAAATTATCGATTGTAAAAAATCGTCTTTACTGTAAGGTTATATTGTAAAAACTGTGGATTATGAAAATCGATTGTAAAAAATCGGGTCTATTGAAAGATTGGATTGTAAAAATCAAATATAAAGATTATGATAAAAATAATCGATAAAAAGTACAAACAATAAAGAGGACCAATTTTAAAAATTATTGACAGTAAAATATCGTTTTATTGTAAAAAGTATCGATTGTAGAAATTATATCGATTGTTAAAAAAAGATTATAAAAATAATAGAATGTCCAGAAAATCGGGTTGATTTTATGGTAAAATATCGCTTTTGTAAGGTTCTATTGTAGAAAGTATCGATTGTAGAAATTATCGATTACAAAAAAATCGATTATGAAAATAATAGAATGTCCAAAAATCGGGTCGATTTTAAGGTTCTAGTATAAAAATCGATTATGAAAATCGAATGTAAAAAGAATCGATTGTAGAAATGTTTTAGTGTAAAGGTAACAAGCGATAAAAATCGATTTTAAAAATAATAATCAGTAAATGTAAAGAAAAAAGAATTGATTGTAAAAAACATTTCAACATGAAAAGTAACGATTCATTTTCAATCGAATTTTTTAATGTTATTACTTTTTTGGAGTCGATTTTATACAATTTAATTTTTATAATTTTTTTCCAACAGTTCCAATTTTTACATTCGATAAGTTTTGTCAATTCATTTTATAATCGATTTTTATGTCTGTACTTTTTGTAATTAGTTAATTTTTTACTACAGTAAAATGGAATTTGACTGAAAAAGAATCGATTGTATCAAATCGATTATAAAAATAGAATGTAAAAAATCGATTATTAAGAAAATAGGATGCAAAAAATCGAGTCGATTGTAAAAAAATCGATTATGAAAATCGAATATAACAAATCTGACAAATCTAATTTATTGAAAAATTCGATTGTAAAAAATCGAAAGTAAAAAGTATTAAATTTAAAAATTATAGAAAGTATCGATTGCAAAAAAAATCGATTATGAAAATAATAGAATGTCCAAAAAATCGGGTCGATTTTAAGGTTCTAGTATAAAAATCGATTATGAAAATCGAATGTAAAAAATCAAGTCTATTACAGGATTCGATTGTAAAAAATCTAAAGCAAAAATTATAAAAAATAATCAATAAAAATAACAACAGTAAAAACAATCAATTTTAAAAATAATTGAATGTAAAAAAAAATGATTATAATAATTAAATTTAAAAAAAAAAATCGTGTTTATCGAATGCAAAAATCGGTTTTACTTAAAAACTGTCGATTATGAAAATCGAATGTAAAAAAAAATTGTAGAAATGTTTTGATTCACTTACAATCGAATTTTTTAAAGTTAATACTTTTTTAGAGTCGATTTTATACAATTTAATTTTCATTCATTTTTATAATTTTTTTCCAACAGTCCCGATTTTTATATTCGATAAGTTTTCCAAATTTACAGTCGATTCATTTTATAATCGATTTTTATGTCTACACTTTTTATAATTAGTTAATTTTTTCTACTGTAAAATGGAATTCGACTGAAAAAGAATCGATTGTATCAAATCGATTATTTAAATAGAATGTAAAAAATCAGGTCGATTGTAAAAAATCGATTATGAATATAGGATGTAAAAAAATCATGTTGATTGTAAAAAAATCGATTATGAAAATCGAACGCAAAAAGTCTATTGAAGGATTCGATTGTAAAAAATCAAGAGCAAAAATTACGATTATAAAAAAATAAAAAATAAACAGTAAAAAAATCAATTTTAAAAATAATCAAATGTAAAAAAAATCGATTATGAAAATCAAATTTAAAAATATCGAGTTTATTGAAATGTCCTATTGTAAACAATCGAATGCAAAAATCAATTTTATTATAGGGTTATATTGTAAAAACTGTCTATTAAGAAAATCGATTGTAAAAATGTTATAATGTAAAAGTAACGGGTAGAAAAAATCGATTATAAAAAAATTTATCAATAGAAGTAAAGAAAAAAAATATTTCAACATAAAAAATAACGATTCATTTACAATCGAATTTCTTATAGTCGATTTTATACAATTTAATTTTCATTTAATATTTCAACAGATCCGATTTTTACTTTCGATTATTTTTACGATTTTACAGTCGATTCATTTTATAATCGATTTTTTTTAATCTGGTACTCTTTATAATTAGTTAATTTTTTACTACTGTAAAATGGAATTCGACTGTAAAAGAATCGATTGTAAAAAATCGATTATAAAAATAGAATTTAAAAAATCCGAGTCTATTGAAAAGTAAAAATTATCATTTGTAAAAAATTGGTTCCACTGTAAGATTCTATTGTAAAAACTATCGATTATAAAAATCGAATGCAACAAGAATCGATTATAAAACTAGTGTAAAAAGTAATGCGTAAAAAAAATAAAATGTGAAAAATCCATTGTTAAAACAATTTATTTACAATCGAATTTTTTAATGTTAAAACTTTTTAGAATCGATTTTTTTAAATCGTTTTTTATAATCGATTTTTTTAAAATCAATTTTTTTACAATCGATTGTTTTACAATATGTTAATTTTCTACTACTGTAAAAGAATCGATTGTAAAATTTATCGAATGTAAAAAATCGATTAGATAGGATTTGAAAAAAATAACCTCAATTACAGCATCGGAAATTAAAACGCGATTTTTAATTTACTATTTAACTAAATAATAGAAAAATTCGAAATAATCACTTACTTACCCATTTTGATGTCTTCGCCGCCCTGCCCATCCTCCGACGGAGGTCCTTGCGGTCTCTCGGCGTCCGAAGCGGGTCCCGGAGGTCCACCCGAGGGCGGCCCGTACATCTGCCCCTCTGGCGGTCCGGGTAGCGACTGGCCTTCAGACGGCGGCGGTCCGGAAACGGGATACGGATGCGCAGGTCTGCCTCCGGCGTGCGGTGGATACTGAGGGTACTGTTGGTGGTAGAAACCAGGATGGGGCGGCGGGTATTGACCTCCGGCGGGCGGGGGACCTGCGATAAAGATTGTAAAAATAATCGATTGTAAATTTTTTAAATGAAAAAATTATCGAATGTAAGAAAACGATGAATATCAAATATGAAATTTACAACGTAAAAAATCGACTTACAAAGTATTAATATTTAAAAAATCGATTGTAAAATTATATTCCAATGTAAAATCTATCGATTGTAAAATTATATTCCAATGTAAAATCTATCGATTGTAATAAGAGTTATATTGTAAGGAGTAAGATTGTAAAAAAATTAATTGTGAAAAATTAATTGTAAAAAATCGATTATAAAATCTGTAATCTGTTGTAAAAAATTTCAAATTGAATTGAAAAAATCGATTATTAAAACAAATGTGAAAATTCCATTGTAAAAAATCGTTTTAAACAAAGGTCGATTGTAAAAATGTATTCTTAATGCAAAAAGTATCGATTGTAAAAAAAAGAATTGATAAAAGCACTCGATTGTAAAAAGGATCTATTGTAAAAAGTATCAATTGTAAAAATAATAAAAATCTAAGTAAAGTAAAAATAGACCAATGTAAAAATAACCGACAAAAAAAATCAGTTATAAAAATTTTTGATTATAAAAAATCGGATCTATTGTAAAAAGTGTCGATTGTAAAAAAATTTTTGAACATCAAATATGAAAATTCCATTGTAAAAAATCAATTGAAAAGGGTCGATCATAAAAAAGTATTCTAAGAATTGGTAAAAACACTCGATTGTAAAAGAGTGTCTATTGTAAAGAGTATGGATTGTAAAAAAAATCGATTGTGAAAAATCCAATCTAAAAATTGATTAAAGTAAAACAAAGATTTAAAAAAAAACAAGTGAAAAGTATCGAATGTAAAAAAAATAATCCACAATCCAACTATAAAAGAAAATAGATATAACATCGATCGTAAAAGTATCGGTTGTGAAAAATATTTTGTAAAAAATTCTATTCTAAAAAAAAATCGATTATTAAAAATGCATTGTGAAAAATTTCCCAAAAATATTGATAGTAAAAGAATCGATTGTAAAAGGGGTAAATAGTAAAAATTATTCGATTGTAAAAAAGAACTTGTAAACAGAATTAGGTGGTAAAAAGAACTGATTTGTAAAAAAAACTGATTGTCAAAAATTCATTACAAAAATTTTTACAAAAAATGATAGTAATAGACTCGATTGTAAACAATATTAATAGTAAACAAATATTGTAAAAATGATTCGATTGTAAAGTAACGATTGTAAAAAAGAACTTGTGAACTGAATCGAATGTAAAAATAATCGATTGTAAAAATTATAAATATTAAATAATTTATTATAAAAATGATTGTAAAGTGTAATCGATTAAAAAAAAAAAGAACTTGTAAAATGAATCGATATGTAAAAATATCGATTGTAAAAACATTACCAAAAAGTATTGTTAGTAAATAAATCGATTGTAAACAGTATTAATAGTCAAAAATATAATGTAAAATGTCTCAATTATAAAAAAATAACTTTTAAAATGAATCAAACGTAAAAAGAATCGATTTGTGAAAAATCGATTGTCAAAAATTCATTGTAAAGATCTTTACAAAAAAATATTGATGGTAAAAGACTCGATTGTAAAAAGAATTGATTTGTAAAAAAGGAACTTGTAAACTGAATTCAGTTGTAAAAAGAATTAATTTGTAAAAAATTGATTGTCAAAAATCCATAAAAAAATTTACAAAAAAGTAATAAAGTAATGATAGTAAAAGACTCGATTGTAAACAATATTAATAGTAAAAAAAATAATTCGATCGTAAAAATATAACTTGTAAGTAAAATGAATCAAGTGTAAAGAGAATCGATTTGTAAAAAGTATAAATATTAAAAATAATTTACAAAAATGATTCGATTGTAAAGTATCGATTTAAAAAACAAAAAAACTTGTAAAATGAATCAAGTGTAAAAAGAATCGATTTGAAAAAATCTATTGTCAAAAATCCATTATAAAAACAATACCAAAAATTATTGAGAGTAAAAAAATTAATTGTAAACAGTATTAACAGTAAAAAAATATTGTAAAAATTTCTCGATTGTAAAAAAAGAATTTTTAAAATGACTCAAGCATAAAAAGAATCGATTTGTAAAAAAATCGATTGTCAAAAATCCATTATAAAAAAAATTACAAAAAAGTAATGTTAGTAAAAGACTCGATTGTAGCAATATTAATAGTAAAAAAATATTGTAAAAATGATTCGATTTTAAAGTAACGATTGTAAAACGTATAAATATTAAAAATAATTTATTATAAAAATGATTCGATTGTAAAGTATCGATTAAAAAAAAAAAAGAAGTTGTAAAATAAATCGATATGTAAAAAAATCGATTGTAAAACATCCATTGTAAAAAAATGATCGATTTGTAAAAAAAACGATGATCAAAAATTCATTGTTAAGAACTTTACAAAAAAATATCGATGGTAAAAGACTCGATTGTAAAAAAGAACTGTAAAAACAATTGATTTGTAAAAAAAATTGATTATCAAAAATCCATTATAAAAATTTTTACAAAAAAGTAATGATGGTAAAAGACTAGATTGTAAGCAATATTAATAGTAAAAAATATTGTAAAAATGATTCGATTTGTAAAAATTTCGATTGTCAAAAATCCATTGTAAAAATATTACCAAAAGTTATTGTTAGTTAAAAAATCGATTATAAAGTCTTAATAGTAATAAAAAAAAATTATTCGATTGTAAAGTAACGACTCTAAAAAAAATCGATTTGTAAAGTAACGATTGTAAAAAAAATCCATTGTAAAAACATTACCAAAAAGTATTGTTATTAAATAAATCGATTGTAAACAGTATTAATAGTCAAAAATATAATGTAAAATGTCTCAATTGCAAAAAAATAACTTTTAAAATGAATCAAACGTAAAAAGAATCGATTTGTGAAAAATCGATTGTCAAAAATTCATTGTAAAGAACTTTACAAAAAAATATTGATGCTAAAAGACTCGATTGTAAAAAGAATTGATTTGTAAAAAAGGAACTTGTAAACTGAATTCAGTTGTAAAAAGAATTAATTTGTAAAAAATTGATTGTCAAAAATCCATAAAAAAATTTACAAAAAAGTAATAAAGTAATGATAGTAAAAGACTCGATTGTAAACAATATTAATAGTAAAAAAAATATTGTAAAAATAATTCGATTGTAAAAATATAACTTGTAAGTAAAATGAATCAAGTGTAAAGAGAATCGATTTGTAAAAAGTATAAATATTAAAAATAATTTACAAAAATGATTCGATTGTAAAGTATTGATTTAAAAAACAAAATGAATCAAGTGTAAAAAGAATCGATTTGAAAAAATCTATTGTCAAAAATCCATTATAAAAACAATACCAAAAATTATTGAGAGTAAAAAAATCAATTGTAAACAGTATTAACAGTAAAGAAAATAATGTAAAAATGACTCGATTGTAAAAAAGAACTTTTAAAATGATTCAAGCATAAAAAGAATCGATTTGTAAAAAAAATCGATTTTAAAGAACTTTACAAAAAAATATTGATGGTAAAAGACTTGATTGTAAAAAAGGAACTTGTAAACTGAATTCAGTTGTAAAAAGAATTGATTTGTAAAAAAAACTTGATTGTCAAAAATCCATTATAAAAAAAATTACAAAAAAGTAATGTTAGTAAAAGACTCGATTGTCAATATTAATAGTAAAAAAATATTGTAAAAATGATTCGATTTTAAAGTAACGATTGTAAAAAGTATAAATATTAAAAAAAAAAAGAAGTTGTAAAATGAATAGATATGTAAAAAAATCGATTGTAAAACATCCATTGTAAAAAAATTAAAACAAAAAAACTTGTAAAAATTTCGATTGTCAAAAATGTATTGTAAACCAAAATTACTAAAAAATATTGATAGTGAAAGAATCGATTATAAAATATTGATTGAAAAAAAAAAACTAGTAAAATAAATCGATTTGTAAAAAAATCGATTATCATAAATCCATTGTAATATTCTAGTAAAAATAATTTATTGTAAAAATGATTCGATTTTTAAAAAAAATCGATTATCAAACGATTGTCAAAAATTCATTATAAAAAAAAATACTAAAAAATATTGATAGTAAATGAATCGATTGTAAAAAGTATTAATAGTAAAAAAGAATTTATTGTAAAAATGATTAAATAGAAAACTATCGATTGTAAAAAAAGAACTTGCAAAATGAATCAAGTGTAAAAAGAAACGATTTTTAAAAAAATCGTGTTAAAAATCCATTGTAAGAAATTTTTTAAATTTATTGTAAAAAGGATTCGATTGTAAAATAAACAGTGTAAAGAAAATTAATTAAAAAAATCGATCGTCAAAAATTGTAAAAACATTTACAAAAACGTATTGATATTAAAATAATCGACTGTAAAAAGTATTATTAGTAAAAAGAATTAATTTGTAAAAAATAAATTGTCAAAAATCCATTTTAAAAACATTTACAAAAAAGTATTGATAGTAAAAATTATTTATTGTAAAATGAATCGAGTGTAAAGAAAATTAAAAAAATCGATTGTCAAAAATTAATTGTAAAAACATTTACAAAAAAATATTGATAGTAAAATAATCAACTGTAAAATGTATTGTAAAAAGAATTTATTGTAAAAATTAATCGATTGTAAAAAATGAACTTGTAAAATGAATTAAGGGTAAAAAAGAAAAAAAAGTTGTAAAATGAATCAAGTGTAAAAAAAATCGAATTGTACAAGAATCGATTTGTAAAAAAATCGATTGTCAACACTTTTTTTACTAAATATTGATGGTAAAAGAATAATTGATTGTAAAATTAATCGTTTAAAAATATTGATTTTAAAAAATATTTAAATGTAATTTAAAAAAAGAAACGATTGTAAAAACGAATCGACTGCAAAAAAAAAGATTAAATTCTAAAGAGTATCTATTACAAAAAATATCCATTGAGAAAATCCGACAATAGAAAAATCGATTGTAAAAAATATTATTAGTAAAACACAGTTTATTGTAAAAAGTATAGAATGAAAAACCAATTCGATTGTAAAAAGTACCAGTCATAAAATGAATCGATTGTAAAACGAATAATTTAAAAGTGTCGATTTTTAAAAATATTCCAATGTGAAGTATCGACTGTAAAATAAATGAATAGATTCTAAAAAAAAAAAGAAAAAAATTGTAAAAGAAAAATCGACTGTAAAAAGTATAGCAAAAAAAATAATTTATAATAAAAAATCGACCTGAAAAGAAATCGATTGTAAGAAATAATCCATTATGAAAAGCACCGATTATAAATATACGATTATATAAAAAAATCGACTATAAAAAGAATCGATTATAAATAATATAATCTAGAGTAAGAAGTACCGATTATAATAAAAAATCGACTATATAAAAATATAAATATTAGAATTTCAAAAATCATCATACCTGGTGGTGGGTAACCGCTTTGCCCATGCGGCGGCGGATAAGGTTGTTGCTGTTGCGGAGGATAGCCCGGATATCCCGGATGGGGCGGTCGTGGCGGCAATGGTACAGACTGCGGATTAGGCGGACCTTGAGGTGGATACTGCTGCGAGTACTGGTGGGCCGGCACCTGCGAAGGAGGCATCATTGGACCTTGGTGCGAAGGAACCTGCGCCGTCGGTGGATGAGGAGGATTCTGTTGCATATGAGGCGGCATGGAGGGACCGTGTCCTGAAGGTGGAGCTTGCGGTGGTCCTTGAGGTGGCGCCTGTGGCGGTACTTGAGATGGAAGAGGATGTTGGGGAGTAGGAACCTGAAATAATATATATTTAAAAAATAAACTAGTATACTCTTCGAATATAAGAACCAGGGTTAACATAAACACTTTCCACGAAGAATTACAAAAAAAAAAATAACGAATTTGTGCTACAAAACGTCTAGTAAAAAAAGAAATAAAAAAATAACGAATTTGTGCTACAGAACGTCCAGAAAACAGAAAAAAAAATAGCGAATTTGTGCTACAAAACGTCCATTAAAAAAGAAAGAAAAAATAACGAATTTGTGCTACAAAACTTTCAGAAAAAAATATAAAATAACGAATTTGTGTTACAAAACGTCTAGAAAGAAAATAACGAATTTGTGCTACAGAACAGAAAACAAAAAGAAAAAATAGCGAATGTGTGCTACAAAACGTCCAGAAAGAGAAAGAAAAAATAACGAATTTGTGCTACAAAACGTTTAGTAAAACAGAAAGAAAAAATAGCGAATTTGTGCTACAAAACGTCCAGAAAGAGAAAGAAGAAATAACGAATTTATGCTACAAAACGTCTAGAAAAAAGAAAAAATAACGAATTTGTGCTACAAAACGTCCAGAAAAAAAAAAATAACGAATTTGTGCTACAAAACAAACGTCCAGAAAAAAGAATAAAAAAATAACGAATTTGTGCTACAAAACGTCCAGAAAAAAGAAAAAATAACGAATTTGTGCTACAAAACGTCGAGGAAAAAAGAAACATTTTTGCTACAAAATGTCGAAAGCTCTATTTAATTCAATAAGATATCGTAACCGACAGATTAAAAAATATAACTTGTAGGCAGCCTAAAACGTCTTAAAAAAATGCTTTTTAGTGACAAATGTAATGTTTATTTTAAAACGACTAAAACGACATTTTGTAGCGATCGACATTCGGAAACATCGTTTTTATTGTATAAGAAAACCGACTTAAATCCGATTCTTGCTACAAAACGTCTACATCAGTTTTTTTTTTAATGAAAAACGTTAAATATTCCAAAACGACCATTTTAAGAAGCAGTTTTACTCATTTAAGATTTTAAGAAGCATTAAAAATGGCTGTTTTTTAAACAAAATGTTAATATTAAAACGACGATTTTGTAGCAACACTCCTTAACAAGCGTCGTTTTTAATGTAGCACAAAACGAATAAAACCCGATTCTTGCTACAAAACGTCTATAATTTTCTAATTATGTTTGCTACATGACATCCATAACATCCGATTTTTTTTATAAAAAAGATGAAAATGTCAATGGCTTTTAAAATTTCTAAAACAATTTAGTTACAAAACGTCCCTTATTTACGTTTTTGCTACAAAATGTCAAAACCGTTATTGAAGTGGCAAAGTCGAAATAACATCCATTTAAAAACGTAACTTTTGTTATGACAAAATATTCAAAACAAAACTTCACATTTGTTGCATTAAAAAGTTTACCAGAAAAACCCGATGTTTGCTACAAATCATTTACAATAAAACGTCTATAACATGCTACAAAATATCTATAAGATAAGACAAAAAAATCAATATGGTACAAAACGTCTCTAATATGCCACAAAACGTCTATAACGTACTAAAAACGTCTATAACATGCTACAAAACGTCTAGAACATGCTACAAAATGTCCAGAACATAGCATAAAACGTCTATAACAGGCTACAAAACGTCTATAACATGATACCGAACATCTTTAACATCGGTTTTTTATTTAAGAACATCTAAAATATTCTAATAATTTTTGTTACAAAACGTCTGTATTAATTTTTTTTATAAAAAGGCGAAAATGTAATTTGCTTTGTGTTAAAACATTGTTACGACAGCGACAATATTCAAACAATAAATTTAATTGCTACAAAATGTATAAATAAGCTTAACGTCCAAAATTACTACTTTTGAAAGCGTTTACAACGTCTATTTTTAAAACATCTAAAACAATCAATTTCTCTACAAAATGTTCATTACTTTCATTTTTGTTACAAAACGTCAAAACATTTATCAAGTCAAAAAGTTGAAAAGACAGAGACAAACATTCAAAAATGTAACTTTCGTTACGACAAAACGTTCAAAACGACGATTCTAAGAAGAATAAAAATTAATGTTTTTAAAACAAAATATTAATACTAAAACGACTATTTTGTAGCGACACGCCTTAACAAGGGTCGTTTTTATTGAAATACAAAACAGTTAAAACCCGATTTTTATTACAAAACTTCTACAAATTGTTTTAACTAGCTTAACGTCCAAAAATACTATTTTTAATAGTGTTTAAAACGTCTTTCTTTTAAAACAATTTCGCTACAAAATGTCCACTAACGTTTTTGCTACAAAATATCAAAACCGATATTTAAGTCAAAAAGTCGAAATAGCAGACATACAAATCGACTACAACACTACAAAACGTCTATAACATGCTACAAAATCTCTAAAATATGACAGAAAACGTCTATAACATACTACAAAACGTTTATAACATACTACAAAACGTTTATAACATGCTAAAAAAGTCTATAACATGCTACAAAACGTCTAAAACATGCTACAAAACGTCTAAAATAGAATATATAGAACCAAAAAATTCTTCACTGTAATTGTACTGACCTGATGAGGCGGAGGCCCCTGAGACGGTTGACCGTGAGTATGTATATTCGGTCCAGGATGGTGCGGCGGAGGATGTTCGTGAGGGGGATGAACGGTAGGGGGAGGTTGATGGTGTTCCGCGTGCGGAGGAGTAGGTGGTGGATGAGCGTAATGAGACGGAGGACCCGGCGGATGAGGATGTTCGACCGGCGTAGTTTTTTCCGCCTGCGGTGGTGAGGGACCGTTCGTGGCTGCGGGCGCGGGAGGGCCTTGTTGGGATTGCCCCATTTTGTCCGGATGGTCTAGTTCCATTGGCTGTTGACAAACGATACATTTGGAATGCGAGCGTTATTTTATATAGTATTATAAATAAGAATCGGTTGTAAAGAGAATTGTAAAAAGGGTAAATTGTAAAAAAAAAATCGACTGTAATTTTTTTTGTAAAAAAAAAAAAATATTCTAAAAAGAATTATAAGTATTAAAAAAAATTGTAACGTGTATCGATTGAATAGTGTTGATTGTAAAAATTGTACAATCGATTGTAAAATAAGTAGATTGAAAAATATCGATTGTAAAAAAGATTCTTCTTTAGAGAAAATGGACTGTAAAAAAGTATCAACTATAAAAAAATCGATTGTGAAAAATTAATGGTAAAAAATAATGATAGAAAAAGAATCGATTGTAAAGTGAATTGATTGTAAAAAGTGCAAAAAAAATCGACAAAAAAATCGGTTATAAGAATCTATTGCAAAAATCGATTTTGAAAAGTATTAACGGTTAAAAAAAATCGATATTAAGTGAATCGATTTAATAAATTATCGATTGCAGAAAAAATATTCCAATGTGAAAAGTATTGATTGTAACAAAAGAATCGATTATAAAAAAATTATCGGTTGTAAAAGGGTGCACTGTAAAAAGTATCGAATGTAAAGTGTATCGATTAAATATAGAATCGATTATAAACACAAATCAGTAGTGAAAGATCTTGATTGTAAAAAATTTACCAAGAAGTTATAAAAAAGAATCGATTGGAAAATGTATTGTAAAAAAGAATCGTTTGTAAAGAGGTTTGTAAATGGAGTAAATTGTAAAAAAAATCGACTGTAATTTTTTTTTGTAAAAAAAAAAAAAATATTCTAAAAAGAATTATAAGTATTAAAAAAAATTGTAACGTGATTCGATTGAATAGAGTTGATTGTAAAAATTGTACAATCGATTGTAAAAAAGAATCTTCTTTAGAGAGAATGGACTGTAAAAAAGTATCAACTATAAAAAAATCGATTGTGAAATATAATGGTAAAAACTAATGATAGAAAAAGAATCGATTGTAAAAAGTGCAAAAAAATCGACAAAAAATCGGTTATAAGAATCTATTGCAAAAATCGATTATAAAAAGTATTAACGGTTAAAAAAAATCGATATTAGGTGAATCGATTTAATAAAGTGTCGATTGTAAAAAATATATTCCATTGTGAAAAGTATTGATTGTAACAAAAGAATCGAATGTAAAGTGTATCGATTAAATATAGAATCGATTATAAACACAAATCAGTAGTGAAAGATCTTGATTGTAAAAAATTTACCAAGAAGTTATAAAAAAGAATCGATTGGAAAATGTATTGTAAAAAAGAATCGTTTGTAAAGAGGTTTGTAAATGGAGTAAATTGTAAAAAAAATCGACTGTAATTTTTTTTTGTAAAAAAAAAAAAAATATTCTAAAAAGAATTATAAGTATTAAAAAAAATTGTAACGTGATTCGATTGAATAGAGTTGATTGTAAAAATTGTACAATCGATTGTAAAAAAGAATCTTCTTTAGAGAGAATGGACTGTAAAAAAGTATCAACTATAAAAAAATCGATTGTGAAAAATAATGGTAAAAACTAATGATAGAAAAAGAATCGATTGTAAAAAGTGCAAAAAAATCGACAAAAAATCGGTTATAAGAATCTATTGCAAAAATCGATTATAAAAAGTATTAACGGTTAAAAAAAATCGATATTAGGTGAATCGATTTAATAAAGTGTCGATTGTAAAAAATATATTCCATTGTGAAAAGTATTGATTGTAACAAAAGAATCGAATGTAAAGTGTATCGATTAAATATAGAATCGATTATAAACACAAATCAGTAGTGAAAGATCTTGATTGTAAAAAATTTACCAAGAAGTTATAAAAAAGAATCGATTGGAAAATGTATTGTAAAAAAGAATCGTTTGTAAAGAGGTTTGTAAATGGAGTAAATTGTAAAAAAAATCGACTGTAATTTTTTTTTGTAAAAAAAAAAAAATATTCTAAAAAGAATTATAAGTATTAAAAAAAATTGTAACGTGATTCGATTGAATAGAGTTGATTGTAAAAATTGTACAATCGATTGTAAAAAAGAATCTTCTTTAGAGAGAATGGACTGTAAAAAAGTATCAACTATAAAAAAATCGATTGTGAAAAATAATGGTAAAAACTAATGATAGAAAAAGAATCGATTGTAAAAAGTGCAAAAAAATCGACAAAAAATCGGTTATAAGAATCTATTGCAAAAATCGATTATAAAAAGTATTAACGGTTAAAAAAAATCGATATTAGGTGAATCGATTTAATAAAGTGTCGATTGTAAAAAATATATTCCATTGTGAAAAGTATTGATTGTAACAAAAGAATCGAATGTAAAGTGTATCGATTAAATATAGAATCGATTATAAACACAAATCAGTAGTGAAAGATCTTGATTGTAAAAAATTTACCAAGAAGTTATAAAAAAGAATCGATTGGAAAATGTATTGTAAAAAAGAATCGTTTGTAAAGAGGTTTGTAAATGGAGTAAATTGTAAAAAAAATCGACTGTAATTTTTTTTGTAAAAAAAAAAAAATATTCTAAAAAGAATTATAAGTATTAAAAAAAATTGTAACGTGATTCGATTGAATAGAGTTGATTGTAAAAATTGTACAATCGATTGTAAAAAAGAATCTTCTTTAGAGAGAATGGACTGTAAAAAAGTATCAACTATAAAAAAATCGATTGTGAAAAATAATGGTAAAAACTAATGATAGAAAAAGAATCGATTGTAAAAAGTGCAAAAAAATCGACAAAAAATCGGTTATAAGAATCTATTGCAAAAATCGATTATAAAAAGTATTAACAGTTAAAAAAAATCGATATTAGGTGAATCGATTTAATAAAGTGTCGATTGTAAAAAATATATTCCATTGTGAAAAGTATTGATTGTAACAAAAGAATCGAATGTAAAGTGTATCGATTAAATATAGAATCGATTATAAACACAAATCAGTAGTGAAAGATCTTGATTGTAAAAAATTTACCAAGAAGTTATAAAAAAGAATCGATTGGAAAATGTATTGTAAAAAAGAATCGTTTGTAAAGAGGTTTGTAAATGGAGTAAATTGTAAAAAAAATCGACTGTAATTTTTTTTGTAAAAAAAAAAAAAATATTCTAAAAAGAATTATAAGTATTAAAAAAAATTGTAACGTGATTCGATTGAATAGAGTTGATTGTAAAAATTGTACAATCGATTGTAAAAAAGAATCTTCTTTAGAGAGAATGGACTGTAAAAAAGTATCAACTATAAAAAAATCGATTGTGAAAAATAATGGTAAAAACTAATGATAGAAAAAGAATCGATTGTAAAAAGTGCAAAAAAATCGACAAAAAATCGGTTATAAGAATCTATTGCAAAAATCGATTATAAAAAGTATTAACAGTTAAAAAAAATCGATATTAGGTGAATCGATTTAATAAAGTGTCGATTGTAAAAAATATATTCCATTGTGAAAAGTATTGATTGTAACAAAAGAATCGAATGTAAAGTGTATCGATTAAATATAGAATCGATTATAAACACAAATCAGTAGTGAAAGATCTTGATTGTAAAAAATTTACCAAGAAGTTATAAAAAAGAATCGATTGGAAAATGTATTGTAAAAAAGAATCGTTTGTAAAGAGGTTTGTAAATGGAGTAAATTGTAAAAAAAAATCGACATTTTTTTTTAAATTAATTCTAAAAAGTATAATCAAGTATTAAAAAAAAAAAAAAATTGTAACGTGAATCGATTGAATAGTGTCGATTGTAAAAAGTGTAAAAAAGAATCGATTGAAAAATCCATTGTAAAAAATAATAGCAAAATAAATCGATTTTAAAATGAATAGATTGAATAGTGTCGATTGTAAAAAAGAATCAATTGTTGAAAGAGTATATTGTAAAAGAATGTTGTAAAATTTTTGGATTATGAAAAATCCATTATAAAAAATAATAGCAAAATGAATCGATTGTATATTGAATAAGGTCAATTGTAAAAAAGAATCGGTTGTTGAAAGGGTATTTTGCAAAATAATCGATTGTAAAAAAGAATCTTTTGTAAAAAGTTTAAATTGTGAAAAATCCATTGTAAAAAAATAGTGTAAAAAAGAATCGTTTGTTGAAAGGGTAATTGTAAAAAAATCGATATTGAAAAATTCACGGTAAAAATTTATTAAAAAAAAAATTATTAAAAACAATCGATTGAAAAAGTGTCGATAGTAAAAAAAGAATCGATATTAAAAAGGAATTGTTTGCAAAAAAATCAATTGTGAAAAATTGACAATACCTAATTATTTTTCCGCCATTTTGTCCGGGTAATCGTGATCTATTAGCTGTTAACGAACGCATAGACATCAACAAACATTTTTAGTATGTAAGAAGTATTATCATGTTTTAATTAATATGTATTTGGGAAAAATGTTAGTAACTCAATGTAAACTGCTTTTTTTTAAGACTCACCTCTGATTGACCATTTTCTTGAGGCGTAGACGGCGAAGAATTGTCAGAGTGTCCGTTTTCGTCGATTTTGGGCTTCGGAACTTCTTGAGATTTACTTTTATCCCTCTTCAAGATGTCGTACTGCTTCTCGACCAATGCTTGAAAAGTATCGTCGTCCACGGCAGGCTTACAATTCTAATTAATTAAAAATTAAAAGACACAACGTGAATTCAGTGTTTTAAAATGAAAGTGTCAAGTTGAACACATCCTTTTCATAAATATTGCAAATATTGAGTATCTATAAACGATGATTTTGTAACGAAACATTTTTTTGTGGTGACAAAACGTCGAAAACGAAATTTTTGCTACAAAATGTCCAAAACGTAATTTTTTGATACAAAACGACCAAAACAAGTTTTCGCTACAAAACGTCCACAGCATACCATTTAGTTTCAAGACGTCAAAAGCGTTATTCCAGTCACGACATTGTATTGAGAATTTTAAAAACGTAACTTTTATTGTCATAAAACGTTTACTTTTTCTTTCCTTTAAAAACATTTAAAACGACGATTTCAAAACGATAAACATTGTTTTATTCTGATAAAACGTCAAAAACGAATTTTTGCTACAAAACGTCCAAAACATTTATTTTTAAAATTTTTTTCTACAAAACGTCCCCAATATACGTTTTTGCTACAAAACGTTGAAATATTTAAGTTAAAAAGTAGGTATCAAAGCGGTATACATGCAAAAATGTAACTTTCATTGTAACAAAACGTTCCATACAATGTTTTTAAAAAGCATCTAAAATCAAAACTTTAAAACGATAAATGTCTCTTGTATTAAAAAGTATAAAACGATGATTTTGTAGCGACATATCTTCGGTGAATTAAGTATTTTAAAATGAACGCATCCATTTAATAAATATTGCAAATATTGAGTATCTAATTTTGACAGGAACAACGTAATGTCCAAGTTATTTGCCGCGACTAAGGTATCAAATCAATTTTTATACACTTTTAATTGAATTGTAAATAATAAATGATTTAATGCATTCGCTTCACTGAAATTTTTCTAGTCTGTATTGTAAGCCAAAATTACGAATATTTTATAGCATAGACCTTCAGAAACATTGTTTATTTTGCTACAAAATGTCGAAAGCATTATTTCAGTCATTTTGTAGCGACAGACATTAAAAAACGTTAATTTCATTGCGACAAAACGTTACTCAAAACTGTCGTTTTCTTTAAAAACGTCTAAAACGACAAGTTTGCAGCGAAAGCCCTTAGGACGTATCGTTTTTATTGTGATATAAAACGACAAAACCCAGATTACTACAAAACATCTACAAAAGTCGTTGCAAAATAAACATCCAAAAGGACATTTTAAAGAACAGTATTTATTGCAAAACGTCATTATTTGTTTTAAAACGTCAAATTTGTCGTTTCCTTCAAAAACGCCTAAAACGACAATTTAATAGCAACCGACCTTCGAAAAAATCGTTTTTATTGTGACATAAAACGACTAGAACTCGATTCTAGCTACGAAACGTACACAAAATTCGGTTTTTATGCTACAAAACGTCTATAACATCTGATTTTAGATAAAACAAAACGTTGAAAATGTAATTTGCTATGAAATAAAACATTTTTCTGGTAGCAACAATAAAACAAAGTTTCGTTGCTACAAAACGTCTAAATATACTTAAAGTTCAAATTACTTTTTTATCAATAAATTAGGATCATTCCTTCAATTTTATCCAGCTAAACACCATTTATCTAATGATTTTAAAACAAAACTATGATTTTGTAACAAAAAATTGTTTTATGGTGACAAAACTACAAAAATAAATTTTTGCTACGAAACGTCCAAAACGTAAATTTTTGCTACAAAACAACCAAAACAAGTTTTCGCTACAAAACAGGTTAATACAAAACATATAGAATAACTGTTGTAAAAAACATCCGAAATAACATTCTAAAAACATCTTAAACGCCATTATTTGTTTTAAAACGTCAAATTTGTCGTTTCCTTCAAAAACGTCTAAAACGACGATTTAATAACGACCTACCTTCGAAAAAAAATCGTTTTTATTGTGACATAAAACGACTAGAACTCGATTCTAGCTACGAAACGTACACAACATTCAATTTTTATGTTACAAAACGTCTATAACATCTGCTTTTAGATAAAAAACGTAGAAAATATAATTTGCTATGAAATAAAACATTTTTCTGGTAGCAACAATAAAACAAAGTTTCATAGCTACAAAACGTCCAAATATACTTAAAGTATAAAATACTTTTTTTATCAAAAAATTAGGATTATCACTTCATACAATTTTTTCCAGCTAAAGCACCACTCATCTGTTTTTAAAGACAAAACGATGAATTTGTAACGAAACATTGTTTTGTGGTGACAAAACGTCCAAAACTAAATTTTTGCTACAAAATATCCAATACGTATATGTTTTTATACAAAACGACCAAAACAAGTTTTTGCTACAAAACGTCTACAACATACCTCTTAGTTTCAAGACGATAATTTATCCAGTGACGACATTGTATTGAGACTTTTAAAAATGTAACTTTCATTGTGTTAAAATGTTAACTAAAAGTGTATTTCCCTTTAAAAACATTTAAAACGACGATTTTGAAGCGATAAACATTGTTTTATTTTGATAAAACGTCAAAAATGGACGTTTGCTACAAAACGTCCAGAACATTTATTTTTTTATTTTTTACTACAAAACGGCTACAATATACGTTTTTGCTACAAATCATTGAAATATTTAAGATAAAGTGTCGAAGCGGTAAACATTCAAAAATGTAACATTCATTGTAACACCAAAACGTCGTAGTTGTTATTTTAAAACTATAAATGTCTTAAAAAGTATAAACGATGATTTTATAGCGACATATCTTCGGAAGCATTTTTTTAAACTATATTAATCAACAAAATAAATAAAACTAGATATTTACAACAAAAAACATTCCATTTTTGCTACAAAACGTCAGTTTTTTATATAAAAACGTTAAATATATCATTTGCTTTGTAGTAAAACATTGCTACAGTAGCAATAAGATTAAAACAAGTTTCATTACTACAAAACGTCTAAATGTAATTCACGTTCAAATCGTCTAGTGAAGATAACAAGTGAATATAAAAAACAGTTATAAATATTTCATCAATCTTACCTTTTTAAGTTCATCCTGAAACTGGTCGCTGCTTTCAACGAATTTCCTCTTTTTAGCTTCGAATTTTTCTTCGATTTGCTGCAATTCTGCTTCGAGTTTCTTTTGATGCATCGTCAAAGACTGTACCTGTCGTTTTAACACCTGCATGCGTCCAGTTGTTACCACCGATCTGACATCTGGTACTACGCTTTCAGAGAAAATTTCATTGATTAGCCGGTGGTTTCTTAAGTACCTCGCGTACGCCACGTGTTTAACTGAGTAACCGTCGTCTTGATCTAAAAGCGAATTTCGGTGTGAAAAATAACTATTAAAAACTTTTTCAATAATCAAAACGTCGAAAGCGTTGTTTACGTCAAAAGATTGATATCGTAGTGACACACATTCAAAACGTAACTTTAATTGTGACAAAACGATCTAAATCCCGTTTTTAAAAGTATATTTTCCATTTAAAATATCTAAAACGTCTGTTTTTACGTCATAATTTGTTGCATTGAATAAATGTCTCGTGTCCCCTAAAAACAATTAAAATAACGATTATGTACCGATTGTCCTTCGGAAACATCGTTTTTATTGTATCAAAATGACTTAAACCCGACACTTGCTACAAAACGTCTACATTATATTCTTTATGCTACAAAACAAGTAAAACATCTGTTTTTTAATGAAGAACGTTGAATGTCATTCGCGTTCTATTAAAACATTATTACGGCAGCGAAAAAATTGAAACACTAGGTTTCACTGCTACAAAACGTCTGAATATACTTAACGTCCAAAACGGTTATTTATAAGTGTTTAAAATGTCTCAAATTTCGCTATAAAACGTCCAAAATATGAATATTTGCTACAAAACGTCGAGGGTATTAAACGTTAAGCGACATACATTAAAAACCAGACTTTCATTGTGACAAAACGTCTTAAACAAAGATTTTAAAAAGCAACTAAAATGTCCGTTTTTACAACAAATTGTCATATTTGTTGCTTTCAAATGTTAACTGTCATTTCCATTAAAAATCTCTAAAATGATTTTTTAGTAATATGAAACGACTAAAACCAGATTATTGCTACAAAACGTCTACAATATATGATTTCTACGTTACATTATTGATGAAAAACTTGAAAAAATGTAATTTGGTCGGATTGAAATACTGTTCCTGCAGCAACAACATTAAAACATAATTTCATTGCTACAAAACGTCTAAATGTGTTTAACGTCCAAAATTACGTTTTTAGCAATAAATTAAGTTATTACTTTACACAATCTAATGTCTGTAAAGCCAACACAACTTTTAGAGACATTATTTTATGGTGAAAAATTTCGAAAAAGAAATTTTGGTACAAAACATCGAAAACATTAATGTTTGAAACAAACCTTCCACAATATACGTTTTTGCTACAAAACGTTGAAAACATTTAACAACGTAACTTTTATTGTGACAAAACGTTGATAAAAAGCAACGTGTTTTTACAGAAAAACCGTCATAGTTCCTTTAAAATGATAAAACTGTATTTTCCCTTTCAAATGTCTAAAACCTGATTATTGCCACAAAACATCTACAATATTTGATTAATAAATTAGGGATATCACTTCACACAATTTTCTTTAGCATAGTTTTATGGAGACAAAACGTCGAAACTGAATATTTGCTACAAAACGTTCAAAACATTCATTTTCACTACAAAACGGACGCAACCTACGTTTTTGCTACAAAACGTCGAAAGCATTGTTTAAGTCAGAGTCAATATCGAAGCGGCAGACATTTAAAAACGTAACTATTTGTGACAAATCATACAAAAAAACCGGTTTTAAAGAGTATCTAAAAGTCTGTTTTTAGAACAAAACGTTATAGTAGCTCCTTTAAAATGTTAAAAAGAGTATTTTCCCGGTAAAATGTCTAAAACGACGATTCTGTAGCGAAAGACCTTTTTATTGTGACAAAACGACTAAAAACAGATAGGTACAAAACGTTTAAAACATTTTATAGACATACCTTTGGAAGCATCGCTTTTATTGTAACAAGACTAAAACCCGATTCTTGATATAAAACGTCTATAACATTCGATTTTTTGATGAAAAACCCTTGAAATGTCATTTGCTTTCTATGATACCATTGTTACAATAGCAACAATATTAAAACATGTTTAATTGCTACAAAAGGTTTCTGCTACAAAACGGGTTGTTTGGGTCAAAAAGTAGATATCGAAGCGACAATCAAAAACGTAGCTTCTATCGTGACGAAATGTTCAAATCAACGCTTTAAGCGTCTATTTTTACAACAAAACATCATCGTTGTTTTAACATGTAGTATTTTTTTAAATCGTCTAAAACGTCTTCAGAAATATTGTTTTATGGTTTTTATGTTTTATGTTTTAAAACGTCTAAATCCTGATTATTGCTACAAAACATCTACAATAAATTAACGGACGCAGCCTACGTTTTTGCTACAAAACGTCGAAACCGTTGTTTAAGTCAAAGTCAATATCGAAGCGGCAGACATTTAGAAACGTAAATGTGACAAATCATACAAAATAACGGTTTTAAAAAACATCTAGGGTCAACATTGTTGCTTTAAGATGACAAAATGAAGTTTCCCTTAAAAACATTTAGAATAACAATTTTGTAGCAACATACCTCCAGAGACATTGTTTATCGTGACAAACGGCGAACATTTTTGCTACAAAACGTTTAAAACATTCGTTTTTTGCTACAAAACGATTAAAATATACGTTTTTGCTACAAAACGTCACAAGTGTTGTTTGGGTCAAAAATTAGATATCGAAGCGGCAATAAAAAACGTAACTTTCATCGTGACGAAATGTTCAATACAAATTTTTAAAACGTATTCGTTTTGTAGCGATACACCTTCAGGCACATTTTTTATTGTGGCGAAATAGCGAATTTTGCTACACATTCAAAACATTTATCGCTACAGAACGACCACAACATTCGTTTTTGCTACAAAACGTTGAAACCGTTTTTCAAGTAAAAACTCGATGTAAAACTCCATTTCATTGCAACATCTAGATAATCTGTTAAAACCGAAAAGGTAACTTTAATTGTGACAAAACGTCAGCGTTAAGATGTTAAGTGCAATTTTTCTTAAAAACGACAATTTTTGCTACAAAACGTTTGAAACATTCATTTTTCGCTACATAACGATTAAAATATACGTTTTACGTAGATTTAAATGGTATATTTTTGCTGGACTTACCTCCAATCGCTATATTATTTAAAACTCTAATTTTTAAAGTTTTAATAAGAAATTTAATTAAACACTTACCATCTTCATCTTCTGCTGGTTGTATTTCGATTCTTCTATCGGCCGCCTGTTGTTTCGCAGAGCTGGTCTGTCTCTCGTGCGTCTCGCCATCTGTACCTTGCGTAACTGAAATTAGTGCACCCAAATGATCATGATGATGGTGATGGATGCGATTTTGCGTGAATCAAGCAAATATACAAACACCCACAAGGCGAAGCTCGTGAAACACTGACTTTATTTTTAACATTAAAAGATAATTATCAGGAACGTAGTAATTAAACGTAAGTTTGTTAAACAAATACATAAAAAACCGCAAAGTTTTGGTTACAATAAATTTATTAATTAAAGAAAGTTGTCGCTACTAGTTTTGGATCAACGGGCCACAATCGGGTCTGTAAAGACAATGAAAATAACACTTATAATCTTCGCTACAAAACGCCAACTAAGGTTTATGCTACAAAACGTCAAAAACGTTGTTTATAACAAAAGTGAATATTGAAGCATCTAAAACGACTATTTTTTTCAACAAATCGTCATTTAAATGTTAAGTACCATATCTTTGTTACAAAACGTTTATAACATTCGATTTTTGATGAAAATCCTTTAAAATAACGTTTGTATTACAACGTTCAAAACATTTATTTTCGCTACAAAACGTCAACAACATAAATAATTGTAACCAAGGCTTTGGGTCTTTATGTATTTAGTTATATCTTGTCACATTATTTGAGAATGGTCGCAAAATGAATCGATTGAAAAAAAAATCGATCGTAAAAATCGATTGGGAAAAGCCATTAAAAAAATCGACTGTAGAAATAATCGATTTTAAAAAGTATTATTACCAAACAAATCGATTGTAAACAGTATCGATTGTAAGAAGTGTAAATTAAAAAAAAAATCGATAGTAGTGTCGATTGTAAAACAATAATCGATTACCAAAAGGTATATATTGTAAAAAGGTATCGATTTAGGAAAGAAATGGTTTAGAAATAAATCGATTGTAAAAAATTCATTAAAAAAAATCGAATGTAGAAACAATCCATTTTAAAGAGTACTAATACCAAAAATCGATTGTAAATAAATAATCGATTTCAAAAAAGGTATATATTGTAGAAAGGAGTCGATTTAGGAAAGAAATAGTTAAAAATTCAATCGTTTGTAAGAAGAATCGATCGCAAAAATCGATTATGAATAATCAATTAAAAAATCGACTATAAAAAGAATCGACTAAACAGTATCATTGTAAAGTGTAAATCAAAAAAATAATCGATAGTAAAATGTCGATTGTAAAAGGAATCGATTTAGGAAAGAATCGATAGTAAAAATCAATTGTGAACGAGCTATTAAAAAAACGACTGAAGAAAGAATCGATTTTAAAGTATTACCAAAAAAATTAATTGTAAACAGTATCAATTGTAAGAAGTGTAAATTAAAAAAAATCGATGGTAAAGTGTTGATTGTAAAAAAATAATCGATTACCAAAAGGTATAGATTGTAGAAAGGAATCCATTTAGGAAAGAAATGGTTTAGAAATGAATCGATTGTAGAGACAATCGATTTTAAAAAGTATAAATACCAAAAATCGATTATAAAATGTAAATTAAAAAAATTATTGATAGTAAAGTGTCGATTGTAAATAAATAATGGATTATGAATAATCAATTAAACAAATCGACTGTACAAAGAATCGGCTTTTAAAAATCGACTATAAATAGTATCGATTGTAAAAAGTGTAAATTAAAAAAATAATCGATAGTAAAATGTCGATTGTAAGAAATAATCGATTACAAAAGGGTATATATTGTGAAAAGAATCGATTTAGGAAAGAATCGATCGCAAAAATCAATTGTGAAAAAGCCATTAAAAAAAGACTGTAAAAAGAATCGATTTTAAAAAGTATTATTACCAAAAAAATCAATTAATAATAATACTCTCCCTAATTCACCCCCTTACGAGTGAATTTCAACCCCTGAAGTCGACTGAACGACTTGTGTAGGGGAAGGGACGGCTATTATTATTATTATTTGCCGTGGCGCTCCGGGGCGACTTAAAGATGATTGATGGTGCCATTTGACTTACAGGTGAGGAAAACCCGGAAAACCTCACCCACCATCATCGATGGTGGTAAACAGTATCAATTGTAAGAAGTGTAAATTAAAAAAATCGATAGTAAAGTGTTGATTGTAAAAAAATAATCGATTACCAAAAGGTATAGATTGTAGAAAGGAATCGATTTAGGAAAGAAATGGTTTAGAAATGAAGCGATTGTAAAAAGTATATATTATAAAAAATCGATCGTAAAAATCGATTGTGAAAAATCCATTAAAAAATCGACTGTAGAAACAATCGATTTTAAAGAGCATTAATACCAAAAAATCGATTGTAAACTGTCAATTAAAAAAAAATCGATAGTAAAGTGTCGATTGTAAATAAAAAATCGATTACAAAAAGGTATATACAGTAGAAAGGAATCGACTTAGGAAAGAAATGGTTGAAAAAAGAATCGATCGTAAAAATTGATTATGAATAATCAATTAAAAAAATCAACTATGGAAAAATCGGTTTTAAAAAATTGATTGTACCTAAACAGTATCGATTGTAAAAAATATTCGATTACAAAAAGGTATAGATTGTGAAAGGAATCGATTAAGGAAAGAAATGGTTGCAAAATGAATCGATTATAAAATACCCAATCGTAACAATCGATTGTAAAAAATTCATTAAAAAAATCGAGTGTAGAAAGAATTGATTTAAAAAAGTTTAATACTAAAAAATTGATTGTAAACAGTATCAATTGTAAGTGCAAATTAAAAAAAAATAATTGTAAGAAAAATAATCGATTACAAATAGGTATAGATTGTAGAAAGGAATCGATTTAAGTAAGAAATCGTTGAAAAATGAATCGATTGTAAAAAGGGAGATATAAAAAACTATTGTAAAAAATGGAAGGTTGTTAAGAAATAATTAATAAGAAACGAAATCAATTGTAAACAATATCGATTGTAAACAGCATCAAGTGTAATCACACCGATTATTATTAAGTGTTAAGAAACTCGATTATAAAGAAAGAATCGATTTAAAACAGCCAAATCGATTGTAGAAAGAATCGATTCTAAAATAAATTAATGGCGAAAAAGAATCTATCGTAAAATGAATGTATTGTAAAAAGCGTAGATTTAAAGAATAATCAATTGTAAACAGTATCAAATGTCAAAAGTCGACGGAAAAGAAAGAATCGATTATAAAGAATAGATTGTAAAGGAAGAATAGTGTATAAATGACGTACAACGCAAAAATGTACACGACGCCCCAGAGCGTATGATTGACAATCGCGTATGACGCATAAGTGCGCTTGGATGCAAAAGTATGACGCACAAGCGTGTATTGATGCACAAATGCTTTTGACGCACAAATGCGTCTGGCGCACAAATGCGTTTGACGCACAAATGCGTCTGACGCACAAATGCGTTTGACGCACAAATGCGTATGACGCACAAATGCGTATGACGCACAAGTGCGTTTTGGCGTCATTATTTTTGTGGAAAAAATATAAATGACTTATTTAAACATATAATTAGTCACTCTTAATCCGCGCCTAGGTAAAGTTTACATAATTCAACAAGCAGCGAAAGTATTAAACTAGTTTCAACGTGTATTAGAGAATTGAAATGATATTTTTAATAGATAAATTGTAATATTTATTGTATGTAATATTTCGCATAATATTGATGATAACATTATTCTTACTGATCCAATTTGTAAATATTCAAAAGTCAAAAGCTTTGCTAGACCCTGTATATATTTAAACTTGCACACAAGAAAAATCCGTTAATATTTAGTTACATTAAAGCATTTGTGATTCAATGTATCGTGATGGTGAAGGTGTTAATAACTGATGAGTAAGTGGTAGTGTATTCTTACTAATCCCTATATTATTAAGAAAGTCCTTACCAGATTTCCCTTTATTTTTAGCGGCCATAAAAGCGATGTAAGCTGGAGAATTGTGGTAGGTTTTTAATGTCTTCTCATATTCAACCTAAAAGATAAATATGTTCAATATGTAGTAGAATTATTCGAAACGCATTATATTAGAAACATTATTAAAAAACATTTAAAATTTTTAATTAAAACAAAGGTTATTTAAAAACATTTAAAAAGACTATTTTAAAAACGATATTTAAAAGTATTATTTAAAACCATTACTTAAAAACGATATTTAAACTCATTACTTAAAAATGTCATTTAAAAACGATATTTAAAAACATAAACCATTACTTAAAAACGTTATTTAAATAATTGTTCAAATAATGTTTTTAACGTTTTTAAATAATGGTTTTAATAATGTTGTTAATTAACGTCTCTAAATAATGGTTTTAACTTACGTTTTTAAATAATTGTTTTAGTCTTTTCAAATGTTTTTAATTAATATAAAATATTACGAAATAATCGTGTTTTAACTGTTTTTAAATATTTATTTAAATAATGTTATTTAACGTTCTTAAATAATGGTTTTAAATCATTGTTTTTAAATAATTGTTAAAATAATGTTTTTAAATAATGATTTTAATAATGTTAAATAACGTCTCTAAATAATTGTTTTAACTTACGTTTTCAAATATTATTTTTGAATAATTGTTTTAAATAATGTGTTTAAACAAAGATTTTAAATGTTTTTTAATAATGATTCTAAATAACGTCTTTAAATGATGGTTTTAACTAACGTTTTTAAATATTGTTCTTAAAAAACGTTTTTAAATATTGTTTTTAAATAATGTGTTTAAACAGTGATTTCAAATAATAATTTTAAGTAATGTTTTTTAATAATGTATTTATGTTTTAAATTAGTTTTTTTAATGTTTTTAAATAATTATTGTTTTAAATAAAAATTTTAAATGTTTTTAAATATTTTTAATTAATATAAAATAAAATATAACGAAATAATCGTTTTTTAACTGTTTTTAAATATTTGTTTTAATGTTTTTAAATAATGGTTTTAACTTACGTTTTTAAATATTATTTTTAAATAATTGTTTTAAATAATGTGTTTAAACAAAGACTTTAAGTGTTTTTAATGATTGTTCTAAATAATGTTTTAAAATATTGTTTTTAAATGTTTTTAAAAATCTTTTTAAATGTTTTGAATCATTTTTGTTTTAAATAATGTTTTTGTTTTTAATAAATTTGTATAAATGTATTTACATAATGCCTTAAAATAATGTTTTTAAATAATATTACTAAAAGTTTTTAAATAACGTTTTTAAGTAATGGTTTTAAATAATGTTTTTAATGTCGTTTTAAAACATTGTTTTAAAAACATTCAAAAAGACTAAATTAAAAGCAATATTTAAATTCATTATTAAAAAACATTTTTTAAAAAAATATTTATTTAAAAACGTTAGTCAAAACAATTATTTAAAGGCGTTATTTAGAAATATTATTTAGAACCATTATTAAAAAACATTTAAAATCATTATTTAAAATCTTTGTTTAAACACATTATTTAAAACAATTATTTAAAAACGTAAGTTAATTAACAGCATTATTAAAACCATTATTTAAAAACATTATTTGAAAAATATTTAAAAAATGATTTAAAATCATTTAAAATAACATAAAATAAAAGCATTATTTAAAAATATAAAAACTTAATAAAATTTAATAACATTTAAAAACAAACGATATTAAATATTATTTAAAAACATTTCAAAATGATTTAAAACGATTTTCTGTAAAATGATTTAAAAACATTATTTATAATGATTTTGTTGCGAATTTTACGATTAAACAAATAACATTAATTAAAAAAAATTACTGCAAACATTAAAATACATTATTTAGAAACAATATTTAAAAACAAAGTTTATTTAAAATGGCTATTTTAGTATTAAAAAAACATTTAAAACCATTATTTAAAAATGTTAAAAACATTTAAAAACACTTAAAAGTGATTTAAAATCATTTTAAAACATTTAAAAATGTCATTTAAATACATTTAAAAACATTTTTTTAAATCCTTATTTAGTATTATTGTTTAAAAACATTATTTAAAAATGTTACTTTAAAACATTATTTAAATGAATTATTTAAAAACATTATATAAAAACCTTATTTAATAATGTTAAAAATATTTAAAAAATGATTTAAAAACATTTAAATGTGCTATCTAAATACATTTCTTAAAAAATTTTAAAAACCTTATTTAGTAATATTGTTTAAAAACATTATTTAAAACCATTATTTAAAAATGTTACTTAAAAAAATTATTTAAAACCATTATTTAAAACCATTATTTAAAGCCATTATTTAAAACCATTATTTAAAACCATAATTTAAAAATTATTTAAAAAAATTATTTTAAAAGATTATTTAAAAACGTCATTTAAAAAGATTATTTGAAAATATTATATAAAAACATTATTTAAAATGACTATTTTATTATCAAAAAAACATTTAAAACCATTATTTAAAAATGTTAAAAACATTTGAAAGTGTTATTTAAATACATTTCTTAAAAACTTTTAAAAACCTTATTTAGTAATATTGTTTAAAATCATTATTTAATAACATTATTTAAAACCATAATTTAAAATTTATTTAAAAACATAATTTAAAAAGATTATTTAAAACTATTATATAAAAACATTATTTAAAACCATTTACTTAAAATGACTATTTTAATATCAAAAAAACATTTAAAACCATTATTTAAAAATGTTAAAAACATTTAAAAAACTTTTAAAAAAATGATTTAAAAACATTTAAAAGTAATTTAAAATGATTTTAAAACATTTAAAAGTGTTATTTACATACATTTAAAAATATTTTTTAAAAACCTTATTTAGTAATATTGTTTTAAAACATTGTTTAAAACCACTAATTAAAAACATTATAAAAAAACATTAAATCATGTTCTTAATTACCTTTTCAATTTCATATTCTTCCTGAAATTCAGTCTTTTCATCTTCAGGCAGATCTCTCCACATTTGTCCGATAATTTTACCGATTTCCCACAACTTTAAATCCGCATTTTGAGCTTTCACAGTATCCCACACTTTTCTGCTGTACCTCATGTACGGCATAAGAGGTTTTTCCGGTGCCTTCGGCGGTTTGGGAGTTTTAGCCTCATTTTTCTAGAAGAATTACAACATTTATAATGCGCGAATCAAGAAATTAATAATTATTAATAATTAGAAGAAGATTGGTCAAAGTATAAAGCAAAAAGAAATCAGATAAGATAGACAATTCAAAAGATGTGGCAAATGACTAAATAAATTCTTGGTAAGAATAAAAGAAAATTAAAAACAGAATATTATAATTGATGGATATTACGAAATTATAGATTATAGATATAGCCAATAGCATAGAAGATAAATAGTGCCCTGAATATTAAATACAAAACTTACTGTTGCACTTTTTCCAATTTTTTGTGGTACAAATCCGGGATTACCATTTGCAGTGGCAGTAAATGGATTCGTTTCTTTCTAAAATAAATCATTCATATAATTTATGACATCCAGGGGGTTCTGACTAGTCAGTTTTGATGATTTACTTTAACTGATTCACCGAAAATGACAGGTCAGAACCCCCCCCTTAAAATTAATCTATCAACTTACAGCAGCAGTAGAGCTAGATCCTCCTGAAGCCCGTAACCTTTCTAAAATTAAATATAAAAAATGAAATTATTAGTAATAAAATAAATCTGCGAATTTTAAAAACAAAACAAAAATTGAGGATATTTTTTTATCTAATTTTAAATGAAGTTAATTTATAAACAGATATTCCAATATAAACTATTTGATGTACATCAAAAATTATCATTCTAAAATCCATGCACAAAAATTAAAAAATAAACATTAATTTTCATTTTAGACTTACCAGAAATCTGAAATATTCTACAGTAAAATTAAAAAAAAAAAAAAAAAAATAAGTACTGACCCATTTCTACCAAAAACATTTTTTAATTTTGTTGTTTTTACTATTTTACAATATTATAAAGAACAAAATTTACTTCTTATATACAGGGTATTCACTATTGAAGGAAGTAAATTGATTAGGTTTATATAATTAAAAAAAAAAAAAAAAAAAGAAACGCCACTTTACTTCATTTTAAATTAATTTTACATTAGGAGGAGTGGGAAAAATGGGGAAGGGGGAATTGGAGGTTGGGTAGTGGATAAAATCAGTGAAAGGAGAGGGAAATTTGTAGGGGAAATTGAGGAAGTTGGGAGAGGATAGGAAGAAAAAGCGACAAATAGTAAGAATAAGGGGAACATTTGTAGACAGGTGGAGGAAATGGAGAACGTGGGGAGAGGATTGGAAGAAAATAGCGGCAAGTGGGAGGAATGGGGGGGGGGGGGGGGGGGGCAGTGGGAACACTTGTGGATAGCTGGGGGAAATGGAGAACGTGGGGGAGAGGTTTGGAAGAAAATAGCGGCAAGTGGGAGGAATGGGAGGCAGTAGAAACATTTGTGGACGGATGTGGGAAATGGAGAAAGAGGGGAAAGGGGGAAGTGGTGGAATTGAGGGGGAAATGTAGTGAGAATTTAGGTGTAATGGAGAGGGAAGTGGTTACTTATGGAGATAGAGTTGTGGGGTGGGAAAAATTCTGGGTTGGGAAAATTGTGAGGGTGGGAAAATTTGTGGAGGATGGGAAAAATTGTGTAGGAAGAGTGGTAATTCAATGGAAATGAGGAGGGAAAAAATTTAGAAGTGGTGAGGTGAGTAGGTATAGGAAAAATTGTAGGAGGAATTAGCCCTTTTGCCCTCGTGTTTGCATATAAGTGAAAATACGAGACCTTGATAATACAAACAAACCTGTTACAATTAAATCAAAATCGTAGAATAACTAGGAAATTAATGATAAATCGATTTTTTTAAAGTTTAACGCCTAGTATCTTTAAATATTTACATCAAATTTTAGTCATAAATTAAACTAATCAATTACTTGCTTCAATATTGACATGATTTTTAAGAACACCTTGTTTATAGGGTGGCGAAAAATTTAATTGAACAGTATTGCATTTCATTAACCAATATACAGGGTGTTCTGTAATGAAGTTCCAATATTTTAAAGGATTGTTGGGCCAACCATTATCATATAAACATTTTGCAATTTGGGTCTTCTCTGTCGAGATATCTAGGTCTCAAAATGTGAAAAAATTATTGCATTTTTTATATTTAATAATATTTTAAATATCTATTAATGTCTATTAATGTTTATTAATGTCTATTAATATCTATTAATATCTAATAATATAATATCTATTAAAATCTATTAAAATTTATTAATATCTATTAATATCTATTAATATCTATTAATATCTATTAATATCTATTAATATCTATTAATATCTATTAATATCTATTAATATCTATTAATATCTATTAATATCTATTAATATCTATTAATATCTATTAATATCTATTAATATCTATTAATATCTATTAATATCTATTAATATCTATTAATATCTATTAATATCTATTAATATCTATTAATATCTATTAATATCTATTAATATCTATTAATATCTATTAATATCTATTAATAGATATTAATAGATATTAATAGATATTAATAGATATTAATAGATATTAATAGATATTAATATCTATTAATATCTATTAATATCTATTAATATCTATTAATATCTATTAATATCTATTAATATCTATTAATATCTATTAATATCTATTAATATCTATTAATATCTATTAATATCTATTAATATCTATTAATATCTATTAATATCTATTAATATCTATTAATATCTATTAATATCTATTAATATCTATTAATATCTATTAATATCTATTAATATCTATTAATATCTATTAATATTTATTAATATCTATAAATCTGTTAATATTTATTAATATCTTGATATGGAAAATCGCCCAATGACGAAATTTTTAAAATTAGTTATTAGTGTGAAAGTTTAAAGTTATCAAAGCCGGATGGTTGAGAATCTAGAAATATATTTTTAAAATTAGCAAGTTTGTAAAGAGGGATACGATGATTTGATATATGCAGATTATCAGATGAGAATTTAGAAAAGTCAGTTATTGAAAATTAAAATGTTTGAGAAATATTGAACTTGTTAGAAGAATTGTTGCATTGGAGATTTTTAAAGAATTTAAATAAAGAAAAATAAGTTAAACCAAAGGTAAAGAAATTTTATTTAGATTGAAAGGTGGAATTGATAAGCAGAAGGGAGTTAAATTAACAGGTAGGAGAGCAATGAAAGGAAACCGTCAGCAGAGTTGTTGCAGAGGAACCAGGAGAGTATAAGCAGACAGAATAGAAAAATAGCCAGGGTAGAAAACAGAACAATATTTTTTATTTTATAAGCAGACCGAGTAGGAGAGTAGCCAGGACAGAAGAAGAATATTTTTATTTTAAATTTATTATCAAAATTCTTATTGTAAACTACTGTTCTAGATTTTGAACCAGCCCCATTTGAGATTTTGTATATTAATATGTATTAATATGTATTAATATGTATTAATATGTATTAATATGTATTAATATGTATTAATATGTATTAATATGTATTAATATGTATTAACATGTATTAATATGTATTAATATTTATTTTTATATGCACTGACAAAGTTTATTTAGCTGTTTTTTGCTGATAGGTGTATCTATGACACCAAAAATGTTTACCAAATTTAGTAAAATTAAAATATTGAGTAATAAAAAAATTAGTGCCATTAATCATTTTTGAATTTTAACACCCTGTATTTTGGAAACGAGTTATATTTTATCCAAACATGTTTCTTTTAAACATCTTATTTTTAATCAGATAATGTTCAGTTATTTTGTGTCCTATTTTTATGGGACACTCTGTACATTGAAAATAGACGTGCAACTGTTTTTAACTATTCTCTGGATAGTATTTTTTTTTTATTATTATTTATGGTCAATTTTGGTACACATTGTACCGAAATCCTAATACTGTCCAATTAAACTTTTACACACTCCGTATATATTTAAAACGGCTATAAAATTTATTACAAAATATAAAAAATGTTTATGAAGTCAAAATACTCAAATCGTTTGTTTTAAAGCAGCAATATTGAAATTAGTATACTCGTAAATAAAATATATATAAAATAAAATACAGCCAAGGCTCTTAAAATAATTTAATAATTTTTACCTAAAAATTAGTTCTAGTCTAGAATAATAGATGTAGCAAAATATTTGTTAAAATGCTTTAAACTTAAATAATCCTTTTTTAGTTAAAAAAAAAATGAGAAATTAGGTTTTCATTTTAAAAATAAAAAAAGTAATAAGAAAAGGAACAAAACATCCTCTAACATGTTACCATTTTATTTTGACAAAATTTTAAATACATAAATGAATTTCTTAATAGTTTATAATGTAACTATACAAGAATAAGTCATTAAAATGCCGGCAACCATCAGTTGCAGAAACTTTTAAGCTGGCAACCCAAGTGCATCGTGTAGAGAATAAGTTTAGCTTCAATTTGGTGATGTTTTTATAAAATAATAGTACATTTTACTTGTTAAAATTCTAAAAAAACGTAAAAACCTAATTTCTATTTCATATTCGTGAATAAAAATACCAAAAAACAATGATTTCGTGATAATGGATATTAATAGATGAGTGTTGTTATTAAAAAAGTAATATTCGCAGTTACCTTTCAATATGTTGAAAGTCATGGGCGCGCCTGCCGACAGCAAATCTGAACAACAAACACAAACGAAGCATAATGAGCACTAATCTACAGAATACTACTTTAAATTCTTCAAAAATTATACAAAATCAAAACTATAGATCAAAATGATGCAATATCTACAAAGATATAATAATATGTTACATTTCTAATAGAATCATTATTATAAATGTAATTTTTGAACCAAACATTCATTAGGTCCTTGTTAATTATGAGGAAACAATTATTCAATATATATGTTTCTACTTTTTAGGTCTTTTTTCACTACAATGGATGATTTTTAATCCAAACGGGGACACCTGTCTATCATATTTTCAACTGTCATATGTCATTCCCATCCCTTCCGTTTTTCTAATACAATTTAAAAGATATTTTTATGAGGCATTCAGCAATATAATAATTATAACAATAAAGGTCTTTATTTTCCTTTCGCGTCACATAGACAGAAAAAAAAAACCATCAGATTGAAAATAGAAAAGAAAAATGTCAAAAATCAAGTAAAACTAACAGTTAATTTTTGCATCTTGAATTGTAGTAAAAAAAACTAAATCTAATTTTAATTATTGTAGTGTGACAAAAAAGCATTTGTCAAAAGAACATTAAAAAAATTTACTTAAATTTTTATCTAATAAAATTATATTCCACAACACAGGCAACCTTGCCTAGTATGGGTACAATATTATGAGGTATCTTTCTATATTATAAATGAAAACAAATTTAACTTGAAGAAAATTTTAATTATCAAAGAACACTATCAAAGAACAGTATCAAAGAATACTATCAAAGAACACTATCAAAAAACATTATCAAAGAACACTATCAAAGAACACTATCAAATAGCACTATCAAAGACCACTATTAAAAAATACAGAATAATCTTAAAGGACATTATCAAAGAATATTCTTAGAGAACCTCAATAACATTGTCAAAGATTATTAAAGAACTAATAATTATCAAAGACCAGTAACAAGGAACTCAACAAAAGTAACAAAAAGCATTATCAACGAACATAATCACACAATATTCCCAAAGAACATTGTCAAAAAAACATTATTAAAGAACAAATAATTATCAAACCCACAATAGATCTATCTGGGTGGCAGTGAAAGGCGTGAGATTGTCCCCTCATTTTCAATAATTATCAAGAAACATTATCAAAGTCTATTATCAATGACCAGTAACAAACAATTCATAATTATCAAAGAACAGTAACAAGGAACTTATAATTATTATCAGATAATCAGAGATCTTTATCACAGAATATTCTTAAAGAGCATAGGTAAAAAACATTATCAAACACTATTATCAAGAACCAGTAACAAAGAACTCATAACAAAGAACATTATCAAGGAACAGTAACAAGAAACTCATAATTATCAAAGAACATTATTAAAGAGCTAATAATTATCAAAGAACATTATTAAAGAGCTAATAATTATCAAAGAAATTATAAAGAAACAATATCAAAGAACATTATAAAGAAACAATATCAAAGAATATTATCACACACTATTCTTAAAGAACATTGTTAAACAAACATCAAATAAAGTTATTAAACAACTTATAATTATCAAAGACCAGTAACAGGGAACTAATAATTATTATCACAGAACATTATCAAGAAACATCAGAGAACATTATCAAGGACTAGTAACAAGGAACTCATAATTATCAAAGAACATTATCAAGGAACAGTAACAAGGAACTCATAATTATCAAAGAACATTATCAAGGAACAGTAAAAAGGAATTCAATTATTATCAGTTGATCAAAGATCATTATCACACAATATTCTTAAAGAACATTGTTAAAAAACATTAAACACAATTATGAAGGACCAGTAACAAAGAACTCATAATTACCAAAGAAAATTATCAAGGAACTCATAATTATGAAAGAAAATTATCAAGAAACAATATCAAAGAACATTATTAAAGACCATTATCAAAAAACATTATAAAGAAATAATATCAAAGAATATTTTCAAAAACCATTATCAAAGAATATTATCACACAATATTCTTAAAGAACATTATCAAAAAACATCACATAACATTATTAAATAACTAATAATTATAAGAGAATACTATCAAGAAACATTATCAAAGGACAATATCAAGGACCAGTAACAAAGAAATAATAATTGTCAAAGAACATTATAAAGAAACAATCCTGTATTTTGTTTTCTTAAAGAACATTAAAGGAAAACATTAGGGAACTAATAATCACCAAAGAACATTATCACGAATCATTATCAAAGCACATTATCAGAGAATGTCAAAAAAGATAAAATAACATTATCAAAGACATTTTTATCAAAGACCAGTAACAAGTAACTAAGTAATACTTATCAAGGAACATTACACAAAACATTATCAAGAAACATATCACAGAACATTATCAGAGACAATTATCAAACAACGTTATCATAGGATATTACCATAGGATATTATCAAAGGACAATATTAAGGAAATATCAAAAAACGATATTAAAGAACATTATCAAATAACTTTATCACAGTATCTTCTTAAAGAACGTTATCAGAGAAAGTTGTTAAAGAATTAATAAATAAGAAAGGTCATTATTAAAGAGCTTATAATTATCAAAGACCATTATCACATATTATTTTTAAAGAACAATATCAGAGAGGAATAAAGAACCAATAATTATAAAAGAACATTATAAAAAAATAATCAAGAAATAGTATCAAAAACAATATCAAGGAACATCACAAGAAACAATATCAAGAACATTATCAGAGACCATTATCAAACATCACAGAATATTTTCAAAAAATGCCATCAAGAAAAATTATCAAAGGACAATATTAAGAACCAGTAACAAGGAACTAATAATATCAGAGAACATTATCTAGAAACGATATTAAAGAACATTATTAAATAACATTATCACAGTATATTCATATAGAACGTTATCAGAGAACATTGTTAATGAACAAATAACAAAAACATTATCTTGGATTATTATCAAAAAACTAATAATTATCAAAGAATATTCTGATAATGAGAATATTAAAGAACCAATAATTATTGAAGAACATTTCCAAAAAAAACATAATCAAGAAACAGTATCAAAAATCGTTACCAAAGAAAATTATCTAGGAACATTAACAAAGAACTAATAATTATCAAAGACCATTATCACATAATATTCTTAAAGAACACTATCAGAGAGTATTAAAGAATCAATAATTAACAAGGAGCAGAAATAAGGAACTAAGTAATAATTATCAAAGAATAATGCAAGAAATAATATCAAAGAACATTAGAAGAGACAATATCAAATAAAATTATCAGAGACCATTATCACAGTATATTCTTAAAGAACATTATCATAGAACATTGTTAAACATTATTTAAGGATATGTATTATCAAATTCCATTATCACAGAATATTCTATGATACTGAGAACATTAAAGAACCAATAATTATCAAAAAACTATAATCAAGCAACAGTATCAATACATATTGTCAAAGAACATTATAAAGGACCAGTAACGGGGGCGTCCATTAATTACGTGAGGTATTTTTGAGGATTTTTTGACTCCCCCTCCCCCCCTGGCGAGATTTGGTAAGATTTTCCTTAACTCCCTCCCCCCTTCCCTAATCTCGCGTGAGATTTTTAAAAATTCGTGTTTTGGGTGTAAATGTGTTGGATTATTAAAAAAAAACAAAAACACAATATGTTCCATTACTTTTATATAAGACTAGCAAAGACTAGTGTTTGAGAGTGTTGCAATTATTTAAAATCAAATTAATAAAATTAAATGATAAATACTTAAATGGAAATTAATAAAAATAAATAAACATAATTATAAGATTTTTCCATATTTTATTCTAGAAATACTTTTACTATAAGTTAACTTTACTTTCACGCAATTTTACACCGTTTTCTACTAGAAAAAAAAATTACGTGAGATTTACGAAAACCCCCCCTCCCCCCCCAAGTGAGATTTAGAAAGATTTAGTTTTAGCCCCTCCCCCCCTTGAACACCTCACGTAATTAATGGACGCCCCCTAACAAGGAACTAATAATTATTAATAAAGAACATTATAAAGAATACCAAAGAACAATATCAAAAAAACATTATTACAGAATAATTTTAAAGAACATCATCAAGAAAACATCAAAAAACTAATAATTATCAAAGAACCTTTTCAAAATCATTAGAAAAAAAAATTAAAAACCTACCTAAATCTAAAAATATAATTCTTTGATTTTTGACCTTTCTTTAAAATGAGAATTTTTATTATCAAAGACCATTATCACATAATATTCTTAAAGAACACTATCAGAGAGTATTAAAGAATCAATAATTATCAAGGAGCAGAAATAAGGAACTAAGTAATAATTATCAAAGAATAATGCAAGAAATAATATCAAAGAACATTAGAAGAGACAATATCAAATAACATTATCAGAGACCATTATCACAGTATATTCTTAAAGAACATTATCATAGAACATTGTTAAACATTATCTAAGGACATGTATTATCAAATTCCATTATCACAGAATATTCTATGATACTGAGAACATTAAAGAATCAATAATTATCAAAAAACTATAATCAAGCAGCAGTATCAATACATATTGTCAAAGAACATTATTAAGGACCAGTAACAAGGAACTAATAATTATTAATAAAGAACATTTTAAAGAATACCAAAGAACAATATCAAAAAAACATTATTACAGAATAATTTTAAAGAACATCATCAAGAAAACATCAAAAAACTAATAATTATCAAAGAACCTTTTCAAAATCATTAGAAAAAAAAAATGGAAAACCTACCTAAATCTAAAAATATAATTCTTTGATTTTTGACCTTTCTTTAAAATGAGAATTTTTATTATCAAAGACCATTATCACATAATATTCTTAAAGAACACTATCAGAGAGTATTAAAGAATCAATAATTATCAAGGAACAGAAATAAGGAACTAAGTAATAATTATCAAAGAATAATGCAAGAAATAATATCAAAGAACATTAGAAAAGACAATATCAAATAACATTATCAGAGACCATTATCACAGTATATTCTTAAAGAACATTATCATAG